TACAGGGAATCTTTTACGTACATTGCCAACGGGTACATGATGATAGTTTCGTAAGTAAAACTAATAAAGCTGCAATAGCAAGAGTTTCGGATAAATAAAGTTTAGATAACCAGTTCGTCACTGATCTGGCATTTCGTATATTTTAAGGGGCCAAAGAATATAGCCATACGCCGCATGCTGTTATATTTGACACGGTCTTGTTCAGTGATGGATCATGGCGAGGGCAACCGAGGCAAAGGCCTAAGGGGCCCAGCGATTTGGTGACAAATGTAGGAAAAAATAATGAAGGCCCATTTCCCAAAAATCGTAAAACAAAGCGGCCTTTTTTCGATGAGTTTTGAAATTATTAGGTCGAAATTTAAAACATTTTCCCGGGGAAGGACCCCGGACCTACTCAACCCAAGGATGTCATCTTGTCAATGGGGAAGGGCAGCTACGTTGTCCCAAGGCCCGGCGACCTCATGATCCGTCGCTTGTCTTGTTGCCTTTCTCATTGAACAGGCTGTAGAGAACCAAATCCACACAAACAGTTCCAGTACCTCTGTACGTTTGTCGTAATTGTATTGATAAATCATGGCGAAGTGATCCGACTGTCATGTACATATCGTAAAAATTACTACTATACTTAAATGTTATTTATTAAAATAGAACGAATAATAAAAAGTTATTTATTAAAACTGCTTCAGTAACTGTTCGATTTAATCTTATTTATTATGAATTATATATTTTATTATGTTCATATCATAATGTAATCGCAGTTATTTTAATATATTATAATATTTTTTCCATCCAATTATCATTATTTACGCGTAATTGGCAGGTTGAGGATATTACCAATGACTAATACCTGTATAAATTCTCTATTATTTTAATGAAGTAATATTATCATGACCATAATAGTCCGTTCTATATGTATGAATCATAGTTGATTAGGCGATTAGTTGTTGTATTATTGGTGATAAATTAGCATAACATAAACTGCCAAAGATTGACCTGTCTTTTACAACCAGCTGGTAAGAATAAAATGCGATGGGGTTTAATTTCTTACTTTTCTGAACCATCTCGGCTAACGAAAACGGAGAAGGATTCTTTTAGCACCAAGATAAATTGTCAATGAGTATTCTGTCTTTTACAGTGTCCTGGCAAGAATGGAACATAATGAAATTGGGGTTAACCTCTAACTGTTCTGCGCCAACCGGTTTAATGAAGACGGAATGTGCCGCGGTGAATCATTTTTCCGAACAGCGGCGTTTCCGCCTACTTTTCATCGAATTCCAAATTCCAACTCCCAAGGGTTCTTTTATTTTCTTTCTGCTCAAATAAGATCCAAACGCCAATGCTACACGTGAATATAATGTATATCCATAAACTCCATGATGACAAATATCAACACAAAACATCTTGAAAGAGATATAGCTACAGGTTGCCAGATTCGATTGCGGGACCTATCAAACACGCCCTAAAGCCAGGAGTCTCAGCGCCCCCCGGGGGGGGGGGGGGGGTTAACGTCCACTCAACACAAACTAGGTCATTTCGGGACTAACATATGGTTCAATTTAATTTCAATAATGCGCTTGCGCGTAGGGGTCTTTAGCAGTGGGAGGAAACCGGAGAAAACCCACGAGGTTGGACAGGCGACCCAACTCCTTGTCACGTACAACCGGGGATTTGAAACCACGCCAGTTGACTCAATGACAGGCCTTATGATACAGCGCTCGAGTGCTAACCATTCGGCCATCCAACCACCCTATACAGTCTTTATTGCTTTCTTTTGCTTTCTTTTTATACTAAATTTGGTTAAATTGCATAATGGGGAGAAAAAGTAAATATACTGAAATAAATATTATAACAAGCACAATTTGGGGCAAAAATATAAATCTGAGAAATGGGGAGGTCATAATTTAACAAATATTAAAGAGGCATTATTCAAGAGCTATATCTACCTATTGCAGGTCTTTCTTTAGACACATAAATGAAATATGAATTAGACATTAATTACTAACATGTCAGGACCATAATCAACCCCCGGTCATTTAATGATTTAATTTAGAAATGGAGAAGCGAGGCCAAACCTCGAATAACCCGCACTGTGCTTACCGTAATAAACAATCAATGCACACATTTTGTCAAAACTACAAACATTGATAACGTCCCTCAGAGTAAAATAATTTAAATAAAAATATATCCATTTTGCATTATCTAGTTTTGAACTATTATAGCAAGAAATGGCAGTTCTTTATCTAAATCTTACATAATGTATCTTTAAGGCAGAGCTCATGAGGGGCCATATTTTAAATAAATCACATATATTTACTTCCTACTGTATAGGTCTTAAGAACTTTTCATATCACACTGCAACAGATGAACCTTTCTGAGAACTATAAAATGGAGCAGCATGAATTTAAAGGTATATATGTCGCTCAAATGTTTGTGTTAAGCTGGTTTATATACGTTAAGCCAGAACGCAAAAGTTTAACAAGAAAATCAGTTTACACAGATCAGCATAAAACACCGGCGTTTTTTAAAAACTAGTTTTAATATAAGTGTCTGATGGCATAATAGAAAACCGTCAAAATAGATTAAACTGTTTTAGGTCCCGTTTTCATTCATAGTACAAGACAAGCATTTCAAAAACATTAACCATTGTTTTTAATAAAGTCTATGCTTAATATCCCGTAGAGAGTTTATGTGGTATGATTAAAACTCTCTTCTAAGATGTCAACGGTCTCGTATCTGATCATTATTTTGACAACGTTTCATGATTTATTCAAAAGCTATTCTCTTGAGAGACAAACTGTTTTGATTTATATTACGGTCAGACAAATCACTGAATATAGAATAGTTAGTGTTAGCTACAGGCAAGGCTTCCTGTTTATGATAACCATCCCCTGAATAACTCAACATCGTCTGTATGTGTATGTTAAAAGAATGCATCTGTCAAAGTCATTATGACGACATATTACGCCTGGTCATTTGCAATGAAATGAGGTGTAATGTAACGTCCAGCTTGGCGGCACCAACTAGGCTAATGAAGACGGGCTTCTGCCGTGCGGTGTGCTGTGACGGAAATTTTACCCCGACTGTCAATTCAAAATTATCAATGGGTATTTTACATGCAGACCAACGTGTACAAGGGGTTTCGTTTTTAGTGCCATCCCAATGACTAGACCGTGTTTCTTGCTAATCTCTCCGTCTTGCGCCGCTGACGCCGTCATTTACAATATTTGATAATATATCACAAAGCGTCAAAATATGTTTAGTACATACGCATATTTAAAGCGAGAATTTCATATTTTCAAAGAAAGTCAAAACATAATTATTTCTATGTCTTTTGCTCAATAGGTTGTCAACTCACTATTATACGATCATAGGTATCATTCTCACACTTAAAAACCATTCACCCCGGAAATAATAACACAATTACCTCCCTTGTGTTTCTATTCCCCCCCCCCCCATGGAATAGCTATCTTCAAACGTTTGAATTTGAAGTTGAAAATGATATTTTTGCCAATTTCTCAACTGGTAATAGTGAATTATAGGATTAATAGGATTATTCTTTAACAAGGTAGGACTGTTTATAGATATCATCTATTTTAAGCCTTTATTTTAATACATTTTAAAAATATAACTTAACAATATGAAATTATCGTTTTAATTTATGTACCGTATTCTTTAAAGCACACGCGGCACTTAGTCGTAGAAGTTTGTGCGCTATAAAAATGTGGAGACAAAATACGATGAAGAAAAAAGATCTTCTGAAACCTCCAAATATTTATGTGTGAAGTTGTATCAACTTTCTGGGCAAACGTGGGTTTTTGGGCATTGACAAACAGCTTATATTTTCTGACGGGTATGTCGCATAGCTGAGAGAGGCATGGAATAGTTGGTAAAATTACTTTTTTTTAAAAACAAAAAATATTCTTTAACAATACATGAAACCTCAAACCAATGCTTCTTTATCAAGCTAAATAAGTGGACAAGGAACATCGGTTTGTCATCCCACCCGAACGACTAGACGCCTATCGTATAGAGGTGGCGTAGTGGGGCGGTCTGTGTGTGTGTGTGTGGTGGGGGGGGGTGGCCTTGACATAATTCTTGGGCTTTACGTGGCCACTTTTCTGAGAAAAATTACTCATCTATCCACTGTATGTCCAAGCAGAGAATTTGGATGGAAAACAATTATTGGGCGGTGTTACTCTGTGGGTTTTTCCCCAAGAAAAGGGGGCATATAAAATCTAAATATCATGCCAACGTTCTCTCCTATGTCTCCTAGTACGAAAGTAGTCTAGTCATTCGTTCGGGACGCCAAACCAAGTTTGAGTTGATCCTCATATAAGTATTAATGTTTAAAAATATAAATACTTATGCCAGGACCAACTACAATTGGACTCCACACATTATTTATAGGCGATAAAGTTGGTTAGTGTATTCAAATTTTTAGGCAAGCAAATTCTTTGGCCATAGGCTAGATCGGAGATAGGATTGGGATTCCAAATCCATTCTGTTTTGTCGGAAAATATTTTATATAAGCCTAGATGGTTATAGTGCATAATTATAGCGAGGATATTTTTTATATCGAATCTACTTGAAAATATATGTATTCAAGGTCCACTGGTTAACATGCCTGGGGCTTATGTATTAATGATTTCACATTGACGTCATATTATATCAGAATGCACTCAACCATACCAATTTGTGAGCTTGATGACGAACAGAAAGGTCATTGGATCTATATGGCCTTCACTTTACGATATCGGCTTCCGTTTAAAAAAAAAATATATATGTTGCAAGTCCTCAATCCACACCATGCCTACATAAAAATCACATTATTACAACAAACATACGCAACCAAAACGGTTATCAGCGTATTAATAATAGCTTTACGGTATAATATGCAAATTACACTGTATCTACGTAAATGAGGTGACTAATCAAAAATTGAAACTGAAGTTAATAGCAAATGCTGAATAAACATACTGTACATGGATTGCAAATCTAAGAATTCGTAATGCGCTATTTTTGAACTCAGTCCAATTGGATTTGACATCTTATTCGTTTTGCTAAAAGTGTCGTCTTCATAACTTGGACGCAACCCGTTTGTTTACGTTCGATTGCTTTGGAGGTTTACTGGGCGTCGTTAAAAGTTATTTGAGTAAGGAATTAGTGGTTGTTGACAAGCAAGACCCCAAAATGAGTAAAGTTGTTGGAATACCACCATATACATTTATTCATATTTTAAACCTTGTAAGTAGATTCTAAATACACATCGAAAATGATGTGCAAACATGACAAAATCAGCCATGAAGTTAGACAGAATTATCCAGTGGGTATTGCGTCGAACAATTATTAAATCTTGTCATTGCGGCAAGAATTTATTGTTTTTTTCTTTTTAGTCTCACATCAGTCCGGCGGTTCCAGTGTGCACAATTGCTTGTGGACGCTCTAAAGAATAAAGTTAATATCCGATTTACTTTATACACAGTGTTTAAGGTCTCACATCAGTCTGGCGGTTCCAGTGTGCACAATTGCTTGTGGACGCTCTAGAGAATAAAGTTAATATCCGATTTACTTTATACACAGTGTTTAAGGTCTCACATCAGTCTGGCGGTTCCAGTGTGCACAATATTGCTTGTCGACGCTCTAGAGAATAAAGTTAATATCCGATTTACTTTCAATTTATACACAGTGTTTAAGGTCATAAGACACAGAATCCTATTGTCATTGATTTTCAACGATTTCCAATAATTACTGCCAGAGTTATGGCCCTTGGTCACTTTGAAAAATCTTGTAGACGCTTAAGAGGCTATAGGTAATATCCGATTTATATTAAGGTCATCAGGTCATGATTTTATATTTATACACTGTGTTTATATATAATTGTTTCGATTGACTTTAGATTGATACACAGAGTTTAAGGTCTTAGACGAACAAGTAGGCTATAGTGATTTTCAATGATTTTTGATAACATGAACAGCTAAATCCATGATATTAGATTAAAGCTACGTTCCCATAAAAGTATTTATCGGGGGGTTATTTCCAATAAAAGTATGGCAATTTTGCTATATATGGAAAGTAGAAATGTCCAATCTTACTAGAAAAATAATGGATTCCCTGAAAAACACCCATGGAGCACAAACTGGACAAAAATGTATGGGTTTCCCTAATCGACAGCCCGACGATTAGGAGCGTCTGCACGCGTGAAGTCGAAGGTTGCACGCAGAGATTGTGAGCACTTGATGTACATGTTGATAAACTTTTTGAAGAGTTAGACGTACAACACTTTCTGAGACCAAAATCATGGAAAAGGACGCAGGCAGTGGATAATCCGAGAATTTAATTAGGCTTCGATATTTGTAATAAATAGTCAGCGATCAAGGCAACATCGTCTTGTGTAGGCCTATGTGTCACTTGACACAAACATGATCTCTTTTGATCGATTTTTTTATAGCCGGCTATTCCCTGACAATTGCAATGTTTGGAGAAGGGTTTGAAGCAAAATTATGATAAATTAATAGTTTGAATATGTTTTTAGTCCAAATATATCATCAAATCACCCAGTTTGTACCCGGGAATGTATCTTTAAATGTTTTGTACATGTATACTAAATGTTAGCATGGGCCAAACAAATTCTAAGGATTTTCTGATAATTACTTAATGATTTGTTACTCTTAATCAGAGTTTAGTGTATTATAAATGTTTCATTACCGACAAAAGTAAAAATATGCGACAACTCTTGTTGACTAGCTGCCCGGATGATTTAGCTGCTGTGGGCGTATGTTTTGTTGCCTGGCAACCTATCTTTTATACCTTATATGTTGAATTCAAAATTAATTCGTGCTATGAATAAGAATGCCGCCATTTTGTTCTTTGCGAACATAATTGATTGGCCTGTTTTAACTCTAATTGAATCCAAGCACGGAGATTATCTGGTGTTGCTGTTTTGATTGTGTTTTCTTAATTAAATGTTAAATGAATTATCTGAGTACAAATTAGTATGGATTAAGCAGTGTCAAATTTGATATTTTAGCGAAAAATGTAAATGATGCACTGGGATTTTAATCTTGTTGAGTCATATTCTTTAGAATACATTTATTATCAGATATTTCCAACAGAGGGAATAGTGCCATCGATTTTATCAGATAATTATCAGCACCTCAACTGTTACGAGGTGTGGAGATGTAAGTCAACAGCTCCTGATGAGATTTTATAAATTTCTATTTGTTCTAAGGGTAATTATCGACACCTCAACTGTTACGAGGTGTGGAGATTTAAGTCAACAACTCCTGATGAGATTTTATACATTTCTGTTTGTTCTAAGGACTTAATTAACATTTAACGAAATTGAATTAATGTTCAGATACATATGGTTGTCTGAACTTATGACAAAACACTTTTGTCTTGAATTACATTTAATTGCCGTGAAATGTGCCTACAGCAAGCCTTCACGTTAAAGAAGAATGACCGCATTCGCTCTCCTGGATATCTTTCAAGGTGAACTTTTTATCGCTCGCCTCAATAGTTTAAATTGACCCTCATCAATGAAAAATAATAGTAAAAGTATAACAAATATACTGTCTGAGTCTTCAACATTTTTTACTTCAAGTTTGGCGACTTCAGTTTAAAGGGCCAATTTTGATTATATTTTGGAGAAGAAATCTGCTTAATTTTGTGTTAAAAGCCCTTAAAATCCCTTACGGCTGAGTAACTAACTCAATATACATGATACGTTTTCAAACAGCTTAAACCTGTCAGTCTTCATCTGGAAATAGAGACCGGTGTCCGAAGCTGTATTATACGGTGTCTGGATAAAACCAGACTTTTATTTTATAAAAATAATGTATAGGTGAAATTTACCTTTCATTATCAAGTACAGAATGTGGGGTCATGCATTGTATAGACCTCTAAATGAACGGCAATAGATTATCAGGACACCCAATAAAAAAATTGACCCGAAATCTTAAAAGGGTTATGTGTCCGGATAAGCGGTTTTGAGCTGAAATTTTGAGACAAGGTAAATCCATCATTCCTCTATATTTTGCCGCTTAAATATCATAGGAACACAGACTTTTATTTCGTAGACTGTTAAAATCAGGATGGTCCCTTTAATGCGAGTAAAACGCATTGATCTATACATGTATATCATACTGCTTACAGATCAGTGATAATGCAATAAAGCTCTCCTTAAAGAGGGGGGTTGGATGGCCGAATGGTTAGCACGTGCATGTTGGATCATAAGGTCTGTCATTGAGTCAACTGGCATGGTTTTGATTCCCGGGTTGTACGTGACAAGGAGTAGGGTCGCCTGTCCAACCTTGTGGGTTTTCTCCAGGTCCTCCAGTTTCCTCCCACTGCTAAAATTGCACCATATGTTATTCCCGAAATGAACTGGTTGGTATCGAGTGGACGGTAAACCCAATCTCTCTGTCTCTCTCTCTCTCTCTCTCTCAGTCTCTCCCTCTCTCCTTAAAGACTGTACCTGTATGCAAGATTTTGATATGTATAGAATAGCTTGCAAAATACAATATTATGAGACTTAAATCTCTAATATAGGAATATCAGATCGGTCCATTGATTTTTGAGTTAAAAATTCCATTGATCTATGCTGCTCCCAATGTAATGAGATGTCCGATATCTTAATTTGCCATGAATCAAATTGATGAAACCCAGTCGGGAGATTATCTGGTGTTGGTACTATGATTTTGTTTTCTTGATTAAATTTGAATTCTCAATCTGACTATATATTAGTGTGGATTAAACCATAGAAATATGATCTTTTTCGACAAAATGCAAATCACGCATCAGCAGGCCTGGAAAAAGGATTTTAGCAGCATCTGACATTACTGAAGTTAAACCTGACATTTTTAACTTTGTGCCAGACATGTATTGAAAATATTATATAAAAGAGAAACTGTACGGACAAGACCAAAGTAATGCATAGTGTCTGACAAAGGCTGAATTTGTGCCTGATATTGTCACTGACAGGTGTCTTATTTCCAGGCTTGTGTATCAGGAGAGCCTTTACAGGAGAGTGAGTTTACTTTTTTCCAATTTCATGAGAGCTTGTTATGTCTCTTTAGAAATTTTATCACATGAAGGCATGCTACTTATAAAACCAGTTTCAAATCAATGATTTCTGAAAGAGTTGATCAAAGCCTATGAACTTTATCACCTGTCCTATCCACTAAAAACTGAATCAAGTCTTAATCCGAAATGTCATTCTGTAGTTTTCTACAAGGTCATGTACTTGTGATTTTTTCTAAAAATCTTGGCTCAAAATACATGTATGTGTGACAGACTTGCTTAATTATTAAGACATATTATCCCGAGACCAAACCCCTCTGCGTATTCCGAATTGCTTAATCAATATTTCACACACCTACTGAAAATCAGATTGGTTTTGTCTATGACCTTTTTGCTGGGTTGTTGACATTTTCTTCCACCAATTTATGTGGATGTTAGAAAAGAAAAATCTCTTTATTTATGGGAACATTTTGCTGTGAAATCGATTTTACTAGAATTATTTATCTTAAAAGATAAAAAGAGAGATTATTTTTTTGTAACTTTTTTAAAGCCACTGTGCATCATTCGGAAAATTTAGAAATTTCCACAATTTAATTCATACTAAAATGTACTTTAATTGATAATATGCGACAACTCTTGTTGACTGCCCGGACGATTTAGCTGCTGTGGGCGTATGTTTTGTTGCCTGGCAACCTATCTTTTTATACCTTATATGTTGAATTCAAAATTAATTAGTGCTATGAATAAGAATGCCGCCACTTTGTTCTTTGCGAACATAATTGATTGGCCTGTTTTAACTCTAATTGAATCCAAGTACGGACATTATCTTGTGTTGGTGTTTTGATTGTGTTTTCTTAATTAAATGTTAAATGAATTATCTGAGTACAAATTAGTATGGATTAAGCAGTGTCAAATTTGATATTTTAGCGAAAAATGTAAATGATGCACTGGGATTTTTATCTTGTTCAGTCATATTCTTTAGAATACATTTATTATCAGATATTTCCAACAGAGGGAATAGTGCCATCGATTTTATCAGATAATTATCAGCACCTCAACTATTACGAGGTGTGGAGATGTAAGTCAACAGCTCCTGATGAGATTTTATATATTTCTATTTGTTCTAAGGGTAATTATCGACACATTTATCGACACCTCAACTGTTACGAGGTGTGGAGATTTAAGTCAACAACTCCTGATGAGATTTTATACATTTCTGTTTGTTCTAAGGACTTAATTAACATTTAACGAAATTGAATTAATGTTCAGATACATATGGTTGTCTGAACTTATGACAAAACACTTTTGTCTTGAATTACATTTAATTGCCGTGAAATGTGCCTACAGCAAGCCTTCACGTTAAAGAAGAATGACCGCATTCGCTCTCCTGGATATCTTTCAAGGTGAACTTTTTATCGCTCGCCTCAATAGTTTAAATTGACCCTCATCAATGAAAAATAATAGTAAAAGTATAACAAATATACTGTCTGAGTCTTCAACATTTTTTACTTCAAGTTTGGCGACTTCAGTTTAAAGGGCCAATTTTGATTATATTTTGGAGAAGAAATCTGCTTAATTTTGTGTTAAAAGCCCTTAAAATCCCTTAGGGCTGAGTAACTAACTCAATATACATGATACGTTTTCAAACAGCTTAAACCTGTCAGTCTTCATCTGGAAATAGAGACCAGTGTCCGAAGCTGTATTATACGGTGTCTGGATAAAACCAGACTTTTATTTTATAAAAATAATGTATAGGTGAAATTTACCTTTCATTATCAAGTACAGAATGTGGGGTCATGCATTGTATAGACCTCTAAATGAACGGCAATAGATTATCAGGACACCCAATAAAAAAATTGACACGAAATCTTAAAAGGGTTATGTGTCCGGATAAGCGGTTTTGAGCTGAAATTTTGAGACAAGGTAAATCCATCATTCCTCTATATTTTGCCGCTTAAATATCATAGGAACACAGACTTTTATTTCGTAGACTGTTAAAATCAGGATGGTCCCTTTAATGCGAGTAAAACGCATTGATCTATACATGTATATCATACTGCTTACAGATCAGTGATAATGCAATAAAGCTCTCCTTAAAGAGGGGGGTTGGATGGCCGAATGGTTAGCACGTGCATGTTGGATCATAAGGTCTGTCATTGAGTCAACTGGCGTGGTTTTGATTCCCGGGTTGTACGTGACAAGGAGTAGGGTCGCCTGTCCAACCTTGTGGGTTTTCTCCAGGTCCTCCAGTTTCCTCCCACTGCTAAAATTGCACCATATGTTATTCCCGAAATGACCTGGTTGGTATCGAGTGGACGGTAAACCCAATCTCTCTCTCTCTCTCTCTCTCTCTCTCAGTCTCTCCCTCTCTCCTTAAAGACTGTACCTGTATGCAGGATTTTAGTATGTATAGAATAGCTTGCAAAATACAATATTATGAAACTTAAATCTCTAATATAGGAATATCAGATCGGTCCATTGATTTTTGAGTTAAAAATTCCATTGATCTATGCTGCTCCCAATGTAATGAGATGTCCGATATCTTAATTTGCCATGAATCAAATTGATGAAACCCAGTCGGGAGATTATCTGGTGTTGGTACTATGATTTTGTTTTCTTGATTAAATTTGAATTCTCAATCTGACTATATATTAGTGTGGATTAAACCATAGAAATATGATCTTTTTCGACAAAATGCAAATCACGCATCAGCAGGCCTGGAAAAAGGATTTTAGCTGCATCTGACATTACTGAAGTTAAACCTGACATTTTTAACTTTGTGCCAGACATGTATTGAAAATATTATATAAAAGAGAAACTGTACGGACAAGACCAAAGTAATGCATAGTGTCTGACAAAGGCTGAATTTGTGCCTGATATTGTCACTGACAGGTGTCTTATTTTCAGGCTTGTGTATCAGGAGAGCCTTTACAGGAGAGTGAGTTTACTTTTTTCCAATTTCATGAGAGCTTGTTATGTCTCTTTAGAAATTTTATCACATGAAGGCATGCTACTTATAAAACCAGTTTCAAATCAATGATTTCTGAAAGAGTTGATCAAAGCCTATGAACTTTATCACCTGTCCTATCCACTAAAAATTGAATCAAGTCTTAATCCGAAATGTCATTCTGTAGTTTTCTACAAGGTCATGTACTTGTGATTTTTTCTAAAAATCTTGGTTCAAAACACACGTACGTGTGACTGACTTGATTAATTGTTAAGACATATTATCCCGAGACCAAACCCCTCTGCGTATTCCGAATTGCTTAATCAATATTTCACACACCTATTGAAAATCAGATTGGTTTTGTCTATGACCTTTTTGCTGGGTTGTTGACATTTTCTTCCACCAATTTATGTGGATGTTAGAAAAGAAAAATCTCTTTATTTATGGGAACATTTTGCTGTGAAATCGATTTTAATAGAATTATTTATCTTAAAAGATAAAAAGAGAGATTATTTTTTTTGTAACTTTTTTAAAGCCACTGTGCATCATTCGGAAAATTTAGAAATTTCCACAATTTAATTCATACTAAAATGTACTTTAATTGATAATTTAACATTAAAGCGGCATTAGGTAAATAGAGAATCTCCTACCAGTCTTTTTTGATATCAAAAAAGACGAGTAGGAGATTTTATTTATCACCCAATCCCTTCTTACATGCACAAATAGATAAATATAATTCTCTGCTGTAGATTTAACTTTTACTGAACATTATGGCGTAGAGATACATCATTTTTTGACAGAAATTCAACCATTGCAAAGTCCTTTATATTGACCCAGTGTTTCCATCAAGGTCAATTGAATAACAATAGTTCATTTTTAATATTAAAAAAAGTTACTTTTAATAAGAAATGAACTGTTCTTTGAAAATAAAAAAAAGTAGTTCCTTTTCAACTGACCAATCAATATCTCCTAAGGAGATATCGCAGTAGATTATGAAATATATCACACAAACGATATCTACTGTAATGTATTATTGGGTAATAAAATTAGATAAAGGGCTGACAGTTCTTGCTATAATAGTTAAAAGATCGATAATGTAAAGTGAATATGTTGAAAATTACAGTCAAATTACTTTACTCTGAGCTAAGCTATGGCCAAATCAATTATATATAGTCTAGCCTCGTTTGTCATTTAAAATACGGATGTTATGATAATAAACAAAGTCTCGATTATCCATTTTTACGGTAACCGCATCAACCACAAAATGTATTTAAATCTACTTAATATCACAGCCATCTGATAGCATCGAGAGTTGATTATGGTCTTGCCAAATTAATTAATGTCTAATTGATAATTTGTATAACATTTCAGGTCTAAAGAAAGACCTGCAATAGGAAGATTTAGCTCTTAAATAATGCCTGTTTAAGAAAACAGAATCTATATATCGGCAGTAGATAATCTCAACCTGCTTTGGATTCAATCAGATTAAAGAGAGGTCTATCAAAAGATATCAGCGAAAATAATACCTAGGTGACATTGGCGTGTGTTGACCATATCCTGTATGTCGTCTAGTGAATGCCAAATGTTGACAAATTTTACCTTCATCATCATTGTAAATACTGACTGGAATTGAACGTGTTTGGACTGACATTCTTTATAGAGATTCAACATTCACAATATTGCAGTTCACAAGGGATTTAAAATCAATATAATAACAATCTGTCTATCAGAGACATTAAGTTTAATCCATTCAATATTTGTATATATTTTTAGAATACCAACATTACAAGACTTGAAATTGGACCACAGAATTTTGTTCTCCAGAACAACGAGAAGTTATTAACTGAACCATGTCCTATGGTAAAAATACCACCTGGACACTACTGTATCATAAAGAATCCTATGAGGTAAGGGAGCCATGGAGGCTAAGTGGGTAAGATGCTGGCTCGTTAGCCTGGAGGTAGGGTGTTCGATCCCTGCATTGGCTGAGAAAGTTCATCAGGATTATCCGACGAAGTTTCCCCGTGTCACTGGTACAGGACGGAGGGCCTGACAAGGACAGCTGTCTAGCCATTTGGATCAGACGAAAAACTGAGGTCCCATGTATACATTGGCATGCACTTAAAAGATCCCTTGGCAGTTGGAATTCGATATAAGAGTAGGCCATAGTGCCAATGTCCGGGCAAAATTTCCCTCATAGCACACTGTATGGTGTATGCCCGTCTTCATTAGCCCAGTTCGGAGTATGATGTTAAACCCCATTTCATTTCATTTCATTTCCTATGAGGTAAGGTAACATGTAGACATGTACAAGAAATGTGTCTCTTCTATATAAATATTTTTCCATTATTTCCATCTTCATATAAATCCCAGTCGATGCAGAAAAGTAGGATGTTAAACCCAATTTCATTTTATTTCATCCATTATTAAACATTTTGTTGTTTTAATCTTATTATTTCTTTTATGAATATTTTCCATTATTAAAATGATTGTTAAAATTATTAAAATTTTTGATGACAATGGCAACTATTATACTTTTAGATGTAAACATACATAATTTATTTAGAAATTTGTCTTTTTAATCATATTGTTGATGATAACTATGAACCATTAGATATTTAAATGTAAGTCTATATGATTTATTGAAATAGAGAATAAATCCATTATTCTAACGGAAAATAATGTTTTAGTCACTTTATAAAATAACATATTATGGTCATTTTTCTTTTTCTTTTATAATTCTTAAGCTTAATATTGATTCGTGTGGTTGTGTGTGTCTAGGGAGGCGGGGAGAGGATCCGGTATTTCCGAAACATATGTAATTGAAGGACACAATGTTTACGTTTATTAACTCTTTAAGTTTCTTTAGCACTTTGTAAATATTGAGAAAATGAGAAATTGATATTTTTTACATTGAGTATTGTAGTTTCTTTCCAAAACTGCTTGATACTACTGCACCCTTGACTGTCTTAAATCATCTGAGTCACAGTATTAGTACGTATATAATTCACAACTATTCACCTGACTCAGAAAGATGAGGCACTAGAGAGGGCAGCGATTTCGTGTAATAAAGGGTTAACAAAAAATATTGCCATACTTTATTAAAGCAGCTAAGTCTCTAACTCAATATCATCAAAAACCTTTGACAATGAAAACACAAATTATTTGTCAATTTTAATCAACATTGGTGTTGTGATCTTACCGGGAAAAGATGGGGTTCTGATATCCAATATTTAAGACAAAATAAACATTTTACGATTGGTACACGAATCTTGTACCATAATGTGCGTTTCAGTGCAATTTGTAACAAGCGACTTGGAAGAGCGAGGTTAGATATATTCCACAAGTCATGTCAAACGGTGACCCCATATTCTTCTATGAAGAGCATGCCCAATAAATACTATCGGTGTAGACTGAAATAACCAGACGCTAGAGATTGCCATTTGATTGAGACTTCTGGCATATTTCGCCGATCATAACTGCTTTGAAATTAGAGTAAAAACGGAAACGATTGAATGGAAATCAGTTTTTTTACATTCATATTACATTTTTATCTACGTTGCGACCCATTTGTGTCAATTTGTAGGTCCCAAATATTAACGATTTAGCTCCTTTAAACATAAATAATAGTTTGAGAATTGTGTTTTCAGTAAATATAAAGCTGGTGAATATTGTGAACTAAAGTTAGGAGAATCAAAAGTTAAATTAAATGGGGTAAGTTGACAGTCATATTAACGTTGACAATAAACAATGTAGTTGACAGTAGTACAGTGAACAACAAAGTTGACAATAATGTAAACAATCAAGTTGACAATACTGCAAACAATGAAGTTGACAGAACAGTAAAATAAACACTCAAGTTGGCAGTCAGTACAGTAAACACTCCAGTTGGCAGTCGGTGCAGTAAACACTCAAGTTGATAAAGAACAATAAAGTTACCAGTCAGTACTGTAAACAATTAAGTTGACAGTAAACAATCAAGTTCACAGTCAGTTCAGTAAACAATCATGCAGGCTCAAAAATATTTGAACATGTTTTTTGGGAGGGGAGATGACTGTGTGTTTATAAGTGTATGCTGGACATTAAATTTATGTTTCATAGTCATGTCTCATTTTGAAAATGAAACAAGTTTTATTTGGGTGAAACCATGGCTTTTATATGACTATTGAGGGCAAATTTACTTTAAATTCAGTGAATATCAGCACAGTCTTTTCTGGCTAGTCATTTTGGAGTTGTCTCCCATATACCCTTACCAGTTAGATTTACCTCGCATCTGGGGCTTATTTTTCCAGTGCAGGCTTGTTAAGGTTCAAAGTTATAACCCTGATACAAGTTTTACCCTTTAGCCAATGAAAAGACTGCATTCTAATGACATTTTAGGTTAAGCTTTTGTGAATAAAGCTCCTGTGTGCAAACATGACAGATATTTAGATTGGAATTAATTGAATTAAAAACTGTCAATAGTAACAAATAAGCATCTTGTATGGTTACCTTTAATACAGATAGGTGTAGGAACATATGTCAAGGTTTAAAATGGTACCCAGTTTGGCATGGTACCCAATTACATGGTATCCGGTTTGGCTCTGTACTGGCAGATACCAGAGGGATTGTACCTGACAAAGCCTGAATTTGTGCTCGACATTGCCTGTGACAGGAGCTTTATTTCCTGGTTCATTTGCATATTAATATTATGTATCCTTACCCCTTGCAAATATGTAGCTGAATAATAAGGCAAACTTAAGTAGAAAGGGTTTACTTTTCAGACAGATCTGATGAAAATAATTGCAACGTTTCAATAATTATTTATTTATAATTACAGGAACCATTTCCATTGTATCCTGGAGAATCCCTACAAGGAGCTGAAAATTTTGGCATCTCTTCTGGTGACTATATGAAAGCTGTGAAAGCTTTGCCCGTTGTTCCTGTCAGTAATGCGTTAAAGTTAACTGCTATAGTTGATCATGAAGATGGTGATGTATATCGTAGAGCTGGTGATATGTGGCATGTAGAAGGTCCAGTAACCTACATTCCAACAGTACAAGCTGTAAGTACCCTTTCTGTCTTACTTTATTATAAATTTGTGGCCCAGTAGTGTATATGGCGTCAGCTTACAAACTAGGCGGTCATATTTTACTTTTTAGCCAAGAATGTCCCTTGGCGTTTTCCAATCTGGTTTCCCCTTGTCAGAGGTGCAAGATGGAAGATCTGGCAAGGAAAAATGTCTTGTCGATCAACTGTGCTAAAAATCCATGGTACCATTGGCAGAATTTTAAAGATCCCTTGACAGTTGTAAATTAAACTAAGAGTAGGCCGCTGCTCTCTTGTCCGCAACAGGTAGCTTATTGGCAGACTTGACATAGATATATTGGCAATAAAATGTGGACATTTGCACTGACGATAGAGCCAACCAAGATTCACAAGGATGAGGATGGTAACTATGAAATGTGTGATGATTTTTAAAATGAAAAAACATATTTTTCTACTTTTTCAGGAAATACTAGAAATGGTGAAACCTATTATAATACATACTGATGAAGTTGTTCGTTTGCGTGCTCTTCAAGATTGTATTGATAAAAAGGGGAGGTAAGTTTGATGACCATCATCAGATTTATACACCCATTTTGCTGTTGATTTGAGCTAACCACCCATAGATTATGACTACCACATTTCACCTAATAAGAACACATAGACTAATGATTACAGAAATTTTGTTTTGCGTAAAAGAATTCTAAAAATTGGTTTAAATGTTGCTTGACTCTTGATGATTTTCCTGTGTGTGCATGTGTTTAATTTGGGTACGTTAAGGTGCTGGCTCACCAACCAGGAGGTCAAGAAAGTTCCTTAGCATGTTTTCCCTTTGTCAGTGGCGCAGGACAGACTGCTTAGAAAAGAATAGTGTCTAGTTGTTTAAATGGTAGAAAAAACTGAGGTCCTGGGTACATAAAGGTGCCGGCTCACTAACCAGGAGGTTAAGAAGGTCAAGAAAGTTCCTAAGCATATTTTCCCCTCTGTCAGTGGAGCAGGACAAACTGCCTAAAAAGAAACAATGTCTAGTTGTTTGAATGGGACAAAAAACTGAGGTCCTGGGTACATTAAGGTCCCAGTTCACTAACCAGGAGGTTAAGAAGATCAAGAAAGTTCCTAAGCATATTTTCCCCTTGTCAGTGGCGCAGGACAGACTGCCTAGATAGGATGGTGTCTAGTTGTTTGAATGGGACAAAAAACTGAGGTCCTGTGTACCCATTGGCATAAACATAACGGAAACCTTGTCAGTTAGAGTGGAAACGCTGCTGCTGTTTGGACAAATGTCCTTCATATTGGTGTACGTGATTCCCGTGTTTATTAGTCTGATTAGTGCATTTCATTTATAATTAACGTTTTCTGACTATATTACACAGTATCTTTAATTATTTCAGTCAACGTGTAACTGGTGAAGAATGGATAATATCAGATCCAGGCGCTTATCTACCTGGAGTTTGTGAAGAGGTAAACATTTATAATATAATCATAATATTTACCTGGAGTTTGGGCACTAGGTAAATATTTATAATATCATAATATTTACCTGGAGTTTGTGAACAGGTAAACATTTATAATATAATCATAGTATCTACCTGGAGTTTGTGAACTAGGTAAACATTTATAATATAATCATACTGTAATATTTACCTGGAGTTTGTGAACTAGGTAAACATTTATAATATAATCATAATATTTACCTGGAGTTTGTAAGAACTAGGTAAACATTTATAATATAATCATAATATTTACCTGGAGTTTGGGCACTAGGTAAATATTTATAATATCATAATATTTACCTGGAGTTTGTGAACAGGTAAACATTTATAATATAATCATAGTATCTACCTGGAGTTTGTGAACTAGGTAAACATTTATAATATAATCATACTGTAATATTTACCTGGAGTTTGTGAACTAGGTAAACATTTATAATATAATCATAATATCTATCTGCAGTTTGTGGACAGGTAAACATACCTAAAATATATCTACCATGAAAGTAGTTTGTGAACAGGTATTCATATATAAAATAATATATATATATATTATATAATATCTACCAGGAGTTTGTGAACAGGCAAACATTTATTTATCAACCTGTCCTAATATTTGATATGTGTATATGTATTCTCCAGGTGGTTGTAAAAGAAGAAAAGATAACTCTAACACCTGAAACAGGACTACATCTAGCTGCTACGCAAACTCTTGTGGATATAACTGGAAAACAAAGGTAGTTATAAACTGGAATTTTATCTTGTACCAGTTCGTGATAGTCTTGTAATGAACAGTGTCCAGTCATTCAGATGGTACGAAAAAATGAGGTCACGTTCGAAAAATTGAGGTCACGTTCGTGTGCATGTGAATAACACTTCGATAAAGGATGTCTGTCTTCATTAGCACGGGTCATGCAGAAGAGTAAGACTTTAAGCCCCATTCATTTTGATATGGTTTTTATTTTCTAAATATAATATTTTCTTTTATCATTTCCTAAGGCAAACCGGAGAAGAATGGTTGATCACTGGAGAAGATGTAAATGAACTTTCACCTCAGATTGGCGTGGTATGTCTAGTTGATGAAAGTTTTTTGTTTAAGAAAGTATTCACTTACAAAACAGACCATTTCATTGCTTAATCCTTGTCCGGAAGACAAATATAATAAAATTTGAATGATAGAAAAGGAAACAAAATAGGATTTATGAATTAATCAGATATATATTTAAAACTTAAATTGATATTAATATACAGTGTTTACTTTCATTTTCATTTTAGGCTATTGTAAGAGAGGTATATAAGACAGTATTAAGTAAAGGTAAATACTGTGTTATAGTTAATCCCGTGGATAAAGATGGTAAACCTCAACATGGACAATTTCTGCTCAAAAAAGGATTAACTAGTTTCTTCTTACATCCAGGTAGGAATATATATATATCAATTACTGATTACAAAATTATAAAGTTAATTGTTCTGCTGTACTTTACAGGTAATAGTGTTTAAAACACTGTATTTGACCATAAATCAACATAATACTGATGTCCTGCTTCAGTAAGTGTCCACTGGATGATTATTTTTTGAACTATGATAAAGAACAAACTAACTTTTTGGCTGAAAAAGTAATTCAGGATGTAACATATTTCAATTTCTTAAAAGTAAGGGGGGTTGGATGGACGAATGGTTAGCAAGTAGGGTCGCTTGTCCAACCTCGTGGGTTTTCTCCAGGTCCTCTGGTTTCCTCCCACTGCTAAAGACCCCTAAGCGCAAGCGAATTATTGAAATAAAATTTCGACCAGGTGTTAGTCCCAAAATGACCTAGTTTGTGTCAAGTGGATGTTAAACCCCATTTCTCTCTCTCACTCTCTTTTAAATTTAAGTTTGCAGTGAACATAATTGAGAATCTCGTGAACAGATTTAATGACATAAGTCATCATTTGATTTGCTTAAGATTTATATACATTGTTCAGACTAGTGAGATGAAAAATATTACAACAATAAATGTCATAATCCCCACCCACTCTTCTTACGGATCCATTCACTTGATATGATATTTGTTCTTTACTTCTTGGCAGTGTTTGTGTCTTGTGTTCAGGTTTGTCTCTGCACTTACTATTAGATTCTTATCAAACCACCAATGATAGAATATCTTTATCCGACAACATCTGTGAACAAGCTACTCTGATGATTTAGTTGCAGTGGGCATATGTTTTGGTGCCTGGCAACCTATATTTTGTTGTTAAGGCTTATATTATGTAAATGTAATGAGTATTGACATTATAGATTTCTTATATTTCAGCTGAATATTTAGAAAAAGGAATTCAGTCAGCTTTTGTATTATCTAATAATGAATCTATAGTTCTACAAGCTGTTGAAGATTTTACAGATGATATGTTTAAAGGTATTTTAATAAGTTAATACGATTGTTTCAGGTGGTATGTTTAAAGGTATTTTCATATGTTAATATGATTCTTGCAAATCATCGGTTTAAAAATTCGGTTAATTGATGCTACAGTGTTTTTGAAATTGGATTATCTCTGTTCAGAATGAAGTAATTTGACTGAAATTTTCAGCATTTTCTCTTTAAGTTATCTGTTTTTTAGCTACAATAGCGAGAACTGTCAGCTATTTATCTAATCTTCCATAATGCCCCTTTAATAGAGAAAGAATAATATATCAGTGGTAGATTGACCTTGTGGCTTAGATATTATCTGATTAAAAAGAGGGCCATCAGAAGATTTTACCCAGCACTTATAACGGTGGTGCTGGCTTGTTTATATCATTGACAGGGGACGCTGAATGTTGGGAAGTTCAGAACCCCTTAAATGACAATCAGTGCCTTTAAAGTAAGTTATGAATACATGTTAGCATGGAAATTAAACTGATAACAACTTGAATTTGTCAGATAATTTACAGTATATGAATGCATGGTTCATGAAATATTATAACTATATTGCAGATGTTGTTAACAGAAAGGCTGGAGATAGGTGGATGTTATTAGGACCATTAGAATATATACCACCAATACACGTTAAAATTCTCAAACACAGGTATTCTTCCTTTCTCTATTTTGAAACACACGTATAACTATTTCTTATACATTGATCGCACAAATGAAACATAATGTCAGGGCACATTTTTTATCTTTTTATTCCGCACATTAGGGTTCGCATAAAAGTTATTTGAACTTACAAACTTATGCATTGCTGTATCAATCCTGGTTGCCCCTTTTCAGTTCATTTCTTCGTTAATGTTAATCTATGAAATAAAGTATTTGTAAAAACAAAATAAACCTGGAATGTTGGGCTGCACTTTTAAATCTATTTAACGTGCACATTTGGATTCCCATAAAAATTGTTTGGACTAAAGAAACTCATCTCTGAATGATGTCTGTTGATTTTACAAGGGTTGCTCCCCTTGATCTATGAAATATGGAAAATGAAATGAAATTGGGTTTAAGTACAACTGCACTGACTGGCAAAATGAAGGTAGACATATGCCATGTGCTACAAGGGAAACTTTGCCTCGACAGCAACACTAAAGCCAACTCTTATATTGTGTACATGGGACTTCAGATTTTTGTCCCATCGGAACGACCATACACTTTTCTTGCCAGGTCCACTGTCCTACACCACTGACAAAGGGAATCAAAAGTAGAAAATCCTGGGGAACTTGAACAACCAACACGAGAACCAAACCCTGGACCTCCTGGTTAGTGAGCCAGCGCCAGCGCCTTACTCAGCCACTGTGGTTCCAAATGCTGAATAACTGAAAGCAAATTGTTAATTATATACCAGTATTTATTATATTGGTAATTGATATATTACAGAAAGACAATACCACTAAGTAAAAATGAAGGTGTTTATGTTCAGAATATTAGAACTGGACAGGTGAGTGAGATTGACTGTGATGTAAAAGTTTTTTCCAAGCTTCATATTGTCATTTGTATTTATCTAAATCCATGCGTAAATGTACTCTGTTTGATTATTTAACTAATAAAACAAAATCAAAATATCAATCAAAGACAATTTCCTGGCTTTGATTCATTCAGATTAGGAAGTGGCAAATCAAACGATATCTGCGAAGATTGAGTTATGTGAAAAAAGTCATGGATTTATTCAATTGGATTACATGTGTGATTTTTGTCTGATTTTTTAAATTTATAATTGAACTGGGCAGTCCATCATACAACACTGACAAAGGGAAATCATGCCGGAAAATTTTGAGAAACTTTATTGGTCAACAGTTGAATTGAATGAATGATTTGTCTATGTCAGGTGCGAGCTGTAATGGGACCATGTTCATATATGTTAGAAGAATGGGAAGAATTATGGAAGAAACCACTACAGTCAGATGTTGAAGAATTACTCAGGTTTATCTTAAATTATTTAACCACAAATATACATTAACATAACCATATATAAACTGACATAACCAAATATACACCAACATAACCAAATATGAACTGACATAACTAAATATACACTGATATAACTAAATATACACCAACATAACCAAATATACACTGACATAACCAAATATACACTGATATAGCTAAATATACACCGACATAACCAAATATACACCGACATAACCAAATATACACTGACATAACCAAATATACACTGACATACCCATATATACACAAACATAACCAAATATACACTGACATAACCAAATATACACCATATTTTTCTAAAATATACATTATTATCACAAGGTCAACCCTAAGGGCATATATTGTATTTAAATTCTTCCTTACAAGATAGACAATGATTTAATGTCTTTGTTTTATTACAAGATGGATAATTAATGATCTTATGTAAAATTTGTTTTGTTATTAGATGTGGAGGTGGTACTGGTACAGGTGATATACGTAAACTAGCTTACTATGAACAATCTATAGACCCAAAAGTTTTAAAGGTAATATTTATAGAAGGATTTCTTTGTCTTATTATGATCATATATAACTTTGAAATTTAAATCATATGTATCCAGCTGTTAGGGTAATCTCTTCCATATTGTCATTGTATACATAGCTTCTGACATTGCATATTTTAGCTTTTGTCTCCATGATATTACGCATGTGTAGAATGTAGAGAGTTGTGTGGTGAGTGTAATGATTGAGTTGTAGAGAAATAAAATGAAAAGTGGTTAATGAACTACTTAATTATCTGCACTATGCAACTGGGCTAATGATTATTGGCATATGCCATGCACTGTGTGCATTGAGGGAAATTTTGCCCAGAGAGCTGGAAACTGTGCTGAAAAATCCCTCGGAACTTTTGTGACCAGCACTGGAATCTAACCAGGGACCTTTTGGTTTGGCAGCCAGTTCCTTAGTCACTGAGCCACCTTGGCTCCCATAGTCATAGAGACAGCTTGAAAATTCATCCGCATACCCCATCCTAATCTTAGCTACAGTAAGATACAATGCGGACAAGTTTTATCCAACTACTTCTCTCAATATTAAACATGAATATAATTTGCTTTATTTAGGGTAGAGATGAAACATGTGTAATAACATATCGTATTCCTGGTAACACCGCCCTACAGGTAATTGTAATCTTTGACAATTTTTATAAAAGTGAAACTCTTGATTAACTTGTATGTATTGCTGACTCTCTAAAAGTTATGTATGTTTGCGCTATAACAAGTTTTTTATCATTAAATTCACTATAAAAATGTATACCATGTGTTTGCACTCCAACAAGTATTTTATCATTAAATTCACTATAAAAATGTATACCATGTGTTTGCACTCCAACAAGTTTTTTATCATTTTAAAAATTCACTATAAAAATGTATACCATGTGTTTGCACTCCAACAAGTTATTTATCATTAAATTCACTATAAAAATGTATACCATGTGTTTGCACTCCAACAAGTTTGTTATCATTAAATTCACTATAAAAATGTATACCATGTGTTTGCACTCCCAACAAGTTATTTATCATTAAATTCACTATAAAAATGTATACCATATACTGTAATAGCATTATCAAGGCACATACAAATGGCTATGTCTTGGAAGGGCCTCCGTCGTCCTGCACTACTGCCAATGGGAAACTGTGCTGGAACATCCTGAGGAACTTTCTTGTACAATACCAGGATGGGACCCAGGACCCTCTGGTTAGTAGTCCAGCTCGAAACACACTAAACTACTGTGATGTCCTCGCTGGAAAGAAGTATGATATGTCAAAATGTCTGACCGTATGAATTGAACTTTCTTGTACAATACCAGGATGGAACCCAGGACTCCCGGGTTAGTAGTCCAGTTCCAAACGCACTAAACTACTGTTATGTACTCGCTGGAAAGAAGTATGATATGTGAAAATGTCTGACTGTATGATTTGTTCTTGTAGATTTATAACTACCAGAAGAAAACAGCACGAGTTATGTTTGGACCTGATCTAGCTGTACTTGGTCCACATGAAAACTTTAATGTTCTTAGTTTAAGTGGTAGGTTTTATTCTTTTTATCAAAACTCTGTTTGTTTACCTGCCAAACATGTACATTACCACCCTGCTATGTCCTCATACCAGTATTAAAGACTAGCATATGATTGTCTCAGTTCTCTACACATAGAACCTCTAAATAAAGTTTGAAACTCTGATGCTTAAATTGGTATTGGAAGGTTACCAAAGAAACATGAATTCACAGTACGTGACAGTATATTGAGAAGAATGCTAGTACTAGAGCTTAAACTTTGCAGTCTGATTCATTACAACAAATTGTTCTGACTTGGACTGACTTAATGACAAGACTTCAATTGTAACAGTAAAATATAATGATATATATTACAGCTGGGAAACCGAAGAAAACAAATGCCTTGAAGTCATTATGTTTGATGTTGGGACCAGATTTTATTACAGATATCATTGAGGTAAATTCTGGATAAATTTATTCACACATCAGTTGAAATAAATACAGAACTAATTCTTAGCATTTTACTTGATTACATGTTAAAACATTGATTACATACTATAACATTAATTACTTATAACATTTTTTTTATATATATATCATAATGTTGATTACATATTATAATGTTGATTGCATTTTATGATATTGATTACATTTTATGATATTGATTACATTTTATGATATTGATTACATTTTATGATATTGATTACATTTTATGATATTGATAATATGTCATGCAGTTTGATTATATGTCATAAGATTGATAACATATGTAAGATTGATTACAAATTGTAATGTTGATTACATATTATAATGTTGATTACAAATCATAACATTGAATAAAAATTATAATGTTTATTACATATAATGTTACTTAAATATTGATATTTACATATTTTCAAGGTGGAGACTTCAGATCATGCTCGTTTGCAAGTAAAAGTTGCCTTCAACAACCATTTTGAGGTATATTAATAATATGTATTATATTAATTTATGGCTTTAAAAGGGAAGGAGACATAATGTGTCCATCCCTGCTTTATGGGAAAGTATCACATGGTACTAAAAGCATGTAACACGCCAAATACTATTAAAAAAGTATTATTAAGATATGAAATTTTGGGTAAATGGTTGGTTTGTGATATGTCACAAATTTTCATTCTTTCCTAATTTCTCAAAGGGATTTCCCCTAAGGGGGCATGGTCTTGAATGTTTGATCAGTTACAGCTATTTTTTTTAAGACCCTCAGAAATGGTTAGATTCTGTCTGAAATTTCAATTTTTCGATTCCAGAATTTAGTGCTATTTAATGTAGTAATCTTTATATTCCCAGAATTTGATTTTGTTTAATGTAGTAATCTTTAGATTCCCAGTATTTAGTTTTGTAGAATGTAGTAATCTTTATATTCCCAGAATTTAGTCTTATAGTATGTAGTAATCTTAATATTTCCAGAATTTAGTTTTGTAGACTGTAGTAATCTTTATATCCTCAGTATTTAGTTTTGTAGACTGTAGCAATCTTTATTTTTCTAGTATTAATTGTACAGGATGTATTAATCTTTATACCCCCATTATTTAGGTTTGTAGACTGTAGTAATCTTTATATTCCCAGTATTTATTTAGTTTTGTAGACTGTAGTAATTTTGCATTTCCAGTATGATAGTTTTGTAGAATGTAGTAATCTTATATTTCTAGTATGTGAAAGGTGATAAAGAAAGTGAAAAGAAAATATTTGCTGTACCAGATTTTATTGGCTTTGCTTGTAATCAGATTGGTTAGTATCGATATACAATTATTAAACAAGAACAACACGCTTCGTTTGCTTTAAATACTGGTATTGTACTTAAGTTGGTATATAATGTGATTTTGTATTGCTATATAATGTATTTTTGTATTATTGTCTGATGTGATTTTGTATTGCTGTCTGTGATTTTAGATTGCTATATAATGTGATTTTAGTTTGCTATTTAATGTGATTTTAGATTTGAATTGAGATTAATATTAATGAGATTTTAGATTGCCAATATGTGTGATTTTAGATTGCTATATGATAAAAAAGAAACAAAGTATATGATATGAATTTTGGAAACCAGTGTTGACTAATTTTCTTTTTTTCCTATATGATTTAATGTATTAGCAATATGTATTTCATTTTACCTTCATGTATAAAAATTGTTTATTCTAGGTGGAAAAATCCGGGCAGCAATAGCCCAAGTTCCGTTTGATAAATTCCACAGAAATTCTCTACAAGTGATCCAGTATGCTGTGCTTGGTAGAACTGGAGGTCAAGTCAAATTTGAGGTCAATAATATGGTAAGGACATTGTTTAAAAACTAGTACTGGACATTATCAATAATTTCAACAGTCACCACGTGTTGAACTCTTTATTTGGTATTACTTATAATCACCTGCAGTGCAGAATGGTGGGCCTGCCAAGGAACACTGTCTAGTTGTTCTGATGGGACTAAAAACAGTGGACACGTATATAAAAGAACTGTGACAATTGTAATTTGACAAAGAGTAGACAGAAACTCCACTGTTCAGACTCAATTTCTTTCATAGCTCACTGCACGGCATATTACTGTCTTCATTAGCCCAGGCAGTGCAGAACAGTAGGAAGTTAAACCCATTTCATTTCATTTCTGAATAAAGTTCCTGCTACATTATAACACCCTCTTGATTCTATCTAATGTTTTTGCCTAATGTAAAGAATGTTGATAATTTTAGTAATTATTTTTGTGTTTGTAGGTTGTAAGTAGTTTAGATGTACAGAGTATTGAACCTGTTGATAAGAAGATGAGAGACAGTCTCAGTAAATCTGTACAACTTGCTATAGAAATATCTACAAGGTAACATTTATCTTAAAGCATTGCCAGTACCAAAACTCTTAGCAGTAAAATAACCCTAATATAAAACCCTTTGTACTAAAATAACATAAGCATTAAGTTGCTTGTTACTGTATCTATTCTATTCATATTTTTCCCTCTATGACTGTATATAAGAATTCTGAATAAATACTTTTTTAAATCAAAAAAAAAAAATAACCCCAGTATAAAATCCCGCTATGGTAAAATAACCCCAGTATAAAAATCCTCTATGGTAAAATAACCCCAGTATAAAAACTCCTACAGTAAAATAACCCAAGTATAAAAAACCCTACAGTAAAATAACCCTACAGTAAAATAACCCCACTATAAAACCTCAGGTAGTAAAATAACCCCAGTATAAAACCCCTCTAAGGGAAAATAACCCCAGTATAAAACCATCTGTAGTAATATAACCCCAGTATAAAAACCCTCTGTAGTAAAATAACACCAGTATAAAAACCCTTTATGGTAAAATAACCCCAGTATAAAACCTCCCCATAGTAAAATCCCTACAGAAAAGATAAACCCCAGTACCAAAAGGTCTTTGATACTGGTATGTGTCTCATTTAGCCAGAGATGGTCACATATGTGCTTCTTATATTTTATAGTTCTGTTGAGGCTGCAGCTTCTCATGAAGCCAGTAGAAATGAACAGGTTGCCAGGGGCAATTTAGAGCGACAGAAATTGGTAAATGAAAGAAACTCGGAACTGGAAAGGACCAAGTTGTTAGAATTGTGTGCTATGACGGCTGCTGTTGAATCAACTGGTCAAGCGAAGGCAGAAGCTCAAGCTATCGCTGAAAAAACATTGATCGAGTGTCATAGTGAAATAGAAGGTATGTTTCTGTATGAACATTAATAGACCATTTCATTTACTTGTGAACAATGGTGATTCATTGAGTAAGGCGTTGGTGTTGGGCTGGATTTTCCTGCCCGGTTTCTCCGTGTATTGGAGCGGACGGTTGACATTCATCTTGGCGCTCCTTGTAATGAAAAGAACATGCTGTCTAATATCTGTATATAGCTGGAATTTTAAGACGTTTGTTTATGTCTGTTAAATATTTTGGTTGACTATTGGCCAAAAATTAAATTACCATCCTTGTGAATTTGATTATCTTTTTTTGTCACTTTTTACTTCTTGCTTTTACCCTAATAATTTTCATTTGTATTACATATTGCAGCTGCTAGATTAAAAGCAGAAGCTCTGTCTATTGAACATAGAGCAAAACTGGAGTCACAAATATTGGTTTGTATTATTTCTGTTCAGGTTGTTATTTGCTATGCTAATATGTTCTTAACTGTATACATTGGATTACACCTATTTTTAATAAAAAAATTTTGTTTTTTTATTAAAGCTGCTTATTGTCACTTGCAGTTTACTAAGAAAAAAAAATATAACAGTAGATAATCTTCCGTCTTGGGCTTTTCACAAGATTATAGGTTAAGCTTTGATCATTTTCCATTTATATCATCTGCAGAGATTATCAAATGTTGTGTTGACAAATTTTCATATCTTTGTAAATACAAAGACACAGTTCTATGGACTGTTTATTACTAAGTGATGTTAGAACTAGGATGGTCATTGCTAGAATAACCTAGTATAAACTAGGATTATCATTGTTTGATAAAGACTACAGTAACCTAGTATAAACTAAGATTATCATTGCTAGATAAAGACTACAGTAACCTAGTATAAACTAGGGATTCTGGAAATTTTTCACATCAGACATTAACATAAGTCAGAGTTCTATCATTAGAAGTAATTGTCACTTTCAAGAAATATGATCAGTTTGCTTCCATGTTCCCTTTAAGGTACAGTAAAAGTAATTGTATTGCAAAGAATTGTGTCCGGTGTAATTATTTAACATAGAATACAAATTTATTTCAGATGAGAAAACATGAAATAGATTATGCCAGAAGACAAAACGAACTAGAACTAAACAGAAGTAAAAGAATTGCTGACATTGAGGTTTGTACTTTGTATAAGTTCCTTGTAAAGAAAGGTGTCGAATGGTTCAGGTATGAGAGAAATAAACCTAGGTCCTGCGCATACCTGTGGCACCATGTCAGAGATCCCATGACAGAAAATAAGTGTAGGTCATAGAGTTGCTTTCCAGGTAAATTTACAACAGAACCTACTAAATGGCATACTGCGTCAATCTTCATTATTACAATTGGTGCAGAAAAGTAGGACATTAAGTCTCATTTGTTTAATTGTTTGATGTAATTGGGGCATCGCTCTTTTAATCCGATTTGATATTTATTTTGTAGGTGGGGGGTTGGATGGCCGAATGGCTAGCACATGCGCACTGTATCATAAGGTCTGTGATTGAGTCAACTGACGTTTGGATTCCCCGATTGTACCTGACAAAGTAGTAGTGTTGCCTTTCCAACCTTGTGGGTTTTCTCCGGGTCCTCCGGTTTCCTCCCACTGCTAAAAACCCCTACGTGCAAGCGAATTATTGAAATAAAATTAAACTGTTGTGTTGAGTAAACTTTAAACCCCATTTCTCGCCCTCTCTATTTTGTAGGTGACGAGCTTCAATAACAAAGTACAAGTTTTGGGTGTAGAAACCGTGAAGTCCATGGCCAGAGCTGGACCAGAAAGTCAGGTAGAGTTTATAATACTTCATTTTACTATGTTATATCATAGTGATCATAATTTGAGACACGTCTGCCAATCCATTTTATTAGATCTTTCTAAGTCAAAATCTTATTTGTTCGAGTTTTATTGGATTTGTAGTGATAGCTAGAGGGCTGCAATAGTCGAACAATTAGGGCACTGGATTAATCTTGCGACTTGAATCTTGGCATGGGTTGAGAAGATCCTTTAGGATAATTGAAACCCCCAGTTCCAGTTTGTCAAGTGTAGAACCTGCAGTGCTGACAAGAGATGTTTTGGATAGTCATTTGGATGAGATGGAAAACCAAGGTCCACCCGTGTACACATTGGCATGCACGTAAAATACCCCTTGACAGTTGAAATTCAATGATGAGTAAACAGAAACACAACTGTTCTAGCAAAATTGACCTATTTATTAGTCTCAAAATAACCTAAGTATTGTGTTGACGAGACAGTACGCGCCAATACATTGTAATGATAGCAATATTGACATATCGCCTAAAGGGAAAAACCCATTATTAAGTTGGTGCCAAGATATGTATTTAAATTCCTAGTCAAGAAATCAGTTTGGTCAGATAGACTTCAGTTGAGTTTGGAGCTTAAACTCCCATTCTTTCACTTCCATGATTGTATAGTGGTCTAACAAGACATCATTGTTCATTGCTATTGTAACCAAGCCATTTGATGACCACTTATTCTATTAGTGTTTAACGTCTGCTTCCACTGAGGGTAATATCGCAGATGAACTGTCTTATTTTACTATGCAAAGTGCATGTGGAGGGGTCTTTCTTGTGGGGGGGGGGGGGAAACCAAAGTACCTGGAGAAAACCCACTAGATTGAGAAGGTGCTCCTATCTCCAAGCCACATATGCTTACAACAGGGATCGAAAGAACTGAAAGCCAGAGGTGACCGGCCAGCTAGAGCTCAAAGCGCGACACTTTAGACCATCCCCCCCTCCCCTTTGTTTTTGATGACCACCACATATAAAGAATTATATACTAATGTTTTTCACAGGTAAAATTGTTACAAGGAATTGGATTGGAGAGTGTTTTAGTCACAGATGGCAATAGTCCAATCAATCTCTTCAATACAAGTACTGGATTGATTGGTGGAAAATGCTAGAAGAGATTTTTATAATTTTTTGTTGATAAACCTGACCTCTATTTCTGTTTGAGTATTATCTGTTATACACAGACATTACTTGTAGACAGAAAAATCATTGATGCTTTTATGATTTATTTCTACTATTTTATTTTCATATTTTTTTTTGTTCGGAATATAATTTTCTTTCGATATATATTTACTTTTTGGTACCCTTTCCTACCTGTGATAAATATACATGTCCCATAATGGCCATGATTTTTGTCTATATAGCATAATTATGTTGCATAATAGACATGATTTTTGTCTATAATATGTTGCATAATAGACAAGTTTTATTGAACAAATTTGTTAAATTTTTAAGAAATATAATTATTTTCAATATACAATATGCATTTATCTATGAAAGATGCATTATGTAACATTTAGATAAAGAGCTGACAGTTCTTTTTACAATAGTTCAAAATATAGATTATAAAAAATGAATATATTGATAATTTCAGTGATATTATTTTATTTTGAATGTTAAAAGTTTTGACAAGATAGCCTTAATAGTCAAGTAGCATTGTTTCAATGATAATCAGACTCTTGATTATCCATTTGAACTTAAAATTATTAAATGGTGTGGGGGTGGGGGGTCTAATCCTTTTAATATCTCGGCCATCCTATGGCTTAGAGAGTGGATTATGTGCTTGTTGTGTAAATAATAATTTATATAACATTTGAAGCCAGAAAAAAGACCTGAAATAGGTAGAATTAGCTCATACTCAATGCATATTATTATTATGTAACAGTCAAATTTTGTTCTCAAACATAACGCATATCATTAATAGTTGATTAGAAGAATTATTGTCTCTACCTACAAATTATAAATAAATAACTATGTATTTTTGAACCAGGAATTGGTTGCATACACTAAGTAATTTTGTTCTTGGGGGCGACACTCTAAAAAAAAAAAACAGCCTATAGTTCCACCAATTCAAGATAATCAACATGAACCTCACATGCTTTTTCTTTAGACTTTTGTGCATCGACTGACAGACCTCCACGTTTGATATGTCATAATTCCAAGATGACTGGGATTAAGGCCATGTTCGGTTCCTGGTTCATATAGTATGCTAAGTTCTTTATTTAAGAAACAGTTTGGATAGACTAATAATCATTTATAAATAAAAATGATATGTCAGTAACTCATGTTTCTTAAACATGACACTTTAAATTATTAGAACATCTTGTAACCATATAGCTAACAAATATTTCTTATATTTTTGAATTTTTATATTCTTGTTTCACATGTATGAAATTTAAATTTACAGTCTGTTTTATTTTATTAAAATTCAAATTGTCAGAATATATTTTACTAATGTTTAATGATTTATATATTAATATTACTGTATATACTAGGCTATATAATAATATTTTCAAGTTTCAAACATACCCATCAATTTCTTAAGTGGTACTGATAATTAGATACATGACATAATTACATGGGATATATGTTACTTGAATGTACATTTCTGGGGATGTTTCCTCTCATCTTTCTCAAAAAGCATAGAACGACAAACCACAGTACAGCACAGGTATAAAAGATGACACAATTATATGGAATATAAGTTACTTGGACGCTTATTTCCTGGGAAGTTTCGTTGAGGTCCGAGGGTTTTCACATCTTTTTCAAACAAATACAGTGAAGGTATATATATATATATACATATATACAAACGAGAGAACAATGAAAACAATAGTTTGTTCAGCCAAGTGAAGGAGGAATCCTATTAAAATTGCCGTTAAAACCTTGTAAATGCTTTACAGATCAATGTCCGTGATTTTTTTTTTAAAAACTTGTGGGATTGTTCAGGTTAGTCCTTAGGAGAAATTTGTTAACAATATTCAGAGCTACACAGTGATATTTCACAGAGTTATTGCCCTTGTATTTAAAAACTTGAAAGCCACTCTTCATAAAGCTATTGGTGGGCATATATTGGTAGCTTGGAAACATACCATTTCTAAAATATTTCTTCTTCATATCAATAAATATAAGTACTTAATATTTCTTTTATCAATAAACAAGGTAAATTATATATCATAGAATCTTTTATTCTTTATAACTATGTATTAATATTAATGTTGTTAATATTTTGTTTTAAAATAAATTATTTATACCATGGAACATTCTTATACTTAATGAATGACATGATGTAATATGTTATTATTTTGGGATAAAGTTATTCTATGAGCACCACCCTAAAGTCCAACATGCCATTGGTCATCTCTGAGTAATGGCAAATTATTGTGATTATAATCATATAATTATAAGATACCTGTACTCCCAGAGTAGGTGCTAGCAGAGTAACCAGGAGGTTCAAGGGTTGATCCTGGTGTTGGCCGAGGAAGTTCATCAAGCTTTTTGAGTCTAGTTTTCCCTGTTCATTTGTGCAGGCCATAAGTCATGGCAAAGAAATGTGTTTGAAAAGGATGGAAAAACAATTAAATCCCAAGACAAAGACTGCCCAATGGTTGAAAATCTTAATATGACGGGCTGATCTAGGAATTTTTGCAGGAGGGGGTTTGCCAGGCTTCTGTTAAGAACATTTGACATTGCAGTGATGTCATCATCAATTCTAAATTACTTAACAGTAGGCGTACACATTGAGTTTTTTAAAGAGAAAAAAAAAACAACCGTTTGACTTCAATTTTTATAATAAATTAATAGGATCATATTGTGATTCAATTTCATTGATGCAAAGCATTAACTGTGATATCACATATGTCTATATCTTTATCTCACGCTTTGGATGCCCATCCCATCAACTGATGATAAAGGATAAAGCACACGACTGTGACACTTTTCTCATAAAAAGTGTAGTTTTACAATTTTTTTGACCTCCCCCCCCCCCCCGGCCCTCTGGATCGGCCCCTGTATGATTGAGTTGTAGTCCTGCTGTCCAGGTTTAAATTTGTTTCACAGCACACTGCATGGTGTTATATTGGCATATACCCATTTTCATTAAACTGGCAGATACAGAATGGTTAGAATGGTTAAGAATTATTTTCTTGAGTAACAAGTTAATCACAATAATTTATATTAATTTATTCATATAAATCAAATCAATACTCAAAAACAATACATTCTTTTAATTTAACACATTGAACTATAAATATATTAGCACATCATTTCTAACCTTTGTTTAAACCCACTTGTCATCATTCGAGGGATTTTGTATCCCTTAAAAACTACAATACATGAATTATGAAGGTTAAATCTCTAAAATGAATATCATTCCAAATATTGTTCCATTTCACTCAGTGTTTACAAAGAAAAACAAATGATATAAATAAACCAGCACCAACTTTAAGTGGTGGGGAAAATCTGCGGATAGGTTTTTTTTTTATCTATCATTGATATCTTGGTTTTATTTTCTTCATTAAATGCTAAATAATCAATTTGTGTACATTTTAGTCTGAACCAAACCATGTACAAATAAGTACAGTCCAAAAACTGCAAGATCACGCCATAAGATGGATGTTTAGATCTCTAGCACTAGATAACAAGAATTCTATGAATACGTCATGTTAATATAATTCAAAATATTTCCCTGATAAATGTTAAAGCCTCAACATGCCAGAATAAAGACCATATACAATCAAAAGAACTATTAATATGCTACCACATAGTTTGCACACCCATAAGAAAAATTAAAACGAACAGCAAAAAAATGTCCTGTTAAATTCTCTCCCTTTTTAAGGCTAATACTGATTTGTAAGAACAATATAATCCACAGATTAAATAAAGCCAATATAATTAATCTAGCGCAAAACATCGGACATGTATCCTGTTGTATGATGTACAGTGGAAGATTATACTATTGAACAAGTTATTGTATACCTTATATCTCGAAATCTATCTTGGTATAACTGTGGTCTAACATATCATTACTATCCTTGGCTCAACACTGCTCAGTAATATTGGGTGTCTGGATAATCACCTTGACTAGGACATATTATTAAATACCATCATTCTTTATACAATATAACAGAAATATTCAACTCCTGTGATGATTTCATAGAAATGCACAGGCATGATAGTGTATCTTTATTTTAGGATGTTTAAAGTCCTTAAGCCAGACATAGATTAATATACTGACAGCATCAATATATTACTTAAACATCTTTGATGCTACTGGCATGAATTAATCCGTGCAACTACATATAATATTTTCTGTTTATATAAACAAACTAGTTATATTTACACACAACATAATATATGGAAACTTAAGCCAACACCACCTTTTCATGGGCCTCTTTTAAATCTGATACGATCCAAGATGGGAGATTATATCTACTGTTGATATTTTCATTGAATCCAAGATAGGAGATTATATCTACTGTTGATATTTTCATTGAATCCAAGATGGGAGATTATATCTACTGTTGATATTTTCATTGAATCCAAGATGGGAGATTATATCTACTGTTGATATTTTCATTGAATCCATGATGGGAGATTATTTTCTTTATTAAACATGCATTATGCAACATTGCAGGTATGTCTTTTAGGCCTGAAATGTTATATAAATTATTTTAGACATTAATTTACATACTAAAACTATAATCAACTCTCGATGCCATCTGATGGCTGTGATATGGGTAGATTTAAAAACGTTTTGTGGTCAATGCAGGTACCGTAAAAATGGATAATCGTAATAAATTCTTATTAAATATGGAAGAAAAATATTCCCTTGATGATACCCTCCAATTAAAGTGTATACAATTTCATGAGAGTGGGACCATGCATAGAATGATGATGTAGAACTCAATATATTTCACTCTAGACAATTTTCACAATATATTATACGCCTAGTTCAGCTCTGAACGTAAGTTCTTGTTACATGTGCCTTAAGGTCAGAGCTGAACTACATTAAGCCATACAAAAGAAATATTCTGGCTCAACAATCCTTCCCAAAAATATGATGCAAATGGGAGGTTTTTATTTTGTCAAAGGATCATGAAGTAAATGACATATCATAAATATCATATTTCAAGGCACTATGTATACATTAATCTCATCATTTTGTTTATAGTAATGTATGATTATCCAGTATCATTTATGACTCAACAGCAATTATCAGTGTTGCATACTCAATAACTGAGCCTATGGTATACATTTGGTTGTATTCATATTTTTGTATAGAGTTCCTGTAACCAGGGGAAAAAAGTGATGCATAAGTTTCCAAGAACCAGAATATTTGTTTTTCAACGACTTAATAACAATTTATGCATAATTAGAAACCGGAGTATTATCATTATTAAGATTTTTTTTATCTGGACTGTTTGCAACACATTTTGGCCTGTACCCTTTCTTCATTTTCTCATCCATAGCTTTGGCAGCTTTATGGAGATTGTTTACAAATTCAGGAACACCTAAAAGGGAAATTTTTTTTATTAAGTTCAGTTTTTGATTGAAATTTTGTTACAGAAGTAGTGCTGATTTTCACAGACTGTTTTTTGTGTGGTTTTATTTTGAAATTCTTTTTCAATTTGAAAGGTCGAATATGTAACACTATGTACTGTTTATGGTATATCAATCTGTTCAATTTGATTTCTGTTTTTCATTTTAAGTTCCCACAACACAAAACCATGCCATGCAAGGACTTTAACACTTTACTATGGAAATCATTCAGTTAGAGAGAGAGAGAGAGAGAGAGAAATGGGGTTTAATGTCCACTCGACACAAACTAGGTCATTTTGGGACTAACATATGGTTTTAATTTTATTTCAATAATTTGCTTGCGCATAGGGGTCTTTAGCAGTGGGAGGAAACCGGAGGACCCGGAGAAAACCCACGAGGTTGGACAGGCGACCCTACTCCTTGTGACGTACAACCGGGGATTCGAAACCACGCCAGTCGACTCAATGACAGACTTTATGATACAGCGCGCGCACGCTAACCATTCAGCCATCCAACCCCCCTCAGTTAGAGAGAGAGAAAGAGAGAGATTAAGGCTTAATGTCCACTCGACACAAACTAGGTCATTTTGGGACTAACATATGGTTCAAATTTATTCCAACAATTTGCTTGGGGTAGGGGTCTTTAGCAGTGGGAAGAAACCGGAGCACCCGGAGAAAACCCACGACGCCCACAAGGTTGGATAGACCACCCTACTCCTTGTCACGTACATAACAGGGGAATTGAAAACCTATGACGCCCACGAGGTTGGATAGATGACCCTACTCCTTGTCACGTACATAACCGGGGAATCGAAACCACACCAGTTGACTCAATGACAGACCTTATGATACAACGTGCATGCTCTAACCATTCGCTCCGACCTCCCCCCCTCCAAATACAGTTAGGTTAACATGTTCATTTGTATGACTAACAGTATGATGCCCCCAACCCTACACTCTTTTTAATTGTCATGGCTAAGGAAAATGTAAATAAAACAGATGTAATAATACCTGAAGATGCCAGCCAGTTGTAACAAAATGAAGGAAAAGCTGATTGAGGATCATCAAAATAAGTTAAAATATAATCAAAACCATTCTAGAAAAAAAACAAGTCACTCATATTTACTACATACAGTAATATTCATTTGCCATTTAATATATTCTGAGAAATGTGGAAATTTGTAAGTTTTTAGCTGTCGTGTTTGTTTTTATCAATTGATTAATTAAATACAAAAAAATATGTAATTAACAAAAATACACAATTACCATAATGGCCCCGGACACAAAACCGGGATGAACAGAACCAATTTTAATATCCCTCCCTAATTTTGTTTTTCTTGAGTTAATTATGGTATCTATTTCTAGCAGGTTGGAAGACTTTCAAGTCGTGCCGACCTTGGTGTATTACAAAAACTACTCTACACAGTGAACAATGGTATAATAACATTCCCATGTATATTTAAATATAATAAAGTTGGGAAACTTTTTTCCACCAACGAGGCTCTTGACAATATATAGTACTATATGAGGGAAATTTTGTCTGGACAATGAAGCTTCAACCAACTCTATTACAAATTCCAACATTTTAGGGATCTTTTAGGTGCAAGTTAACACTGGACCTTGTTTTTTTATATTGTATCCGAAAATGACTAGACCCTGTTCCTTGCCAGACCCTCCCTCCTGCACTACTGACATGGAGAAATAATACTGGAAAATTGTAAGGAACTTTCTCGGCTAATCCTGGGATTGAATGTGGTTAGTGGGCCAGCGCCTTACTCACTGAGCAGTACTTACATCATCAAAGTTGGTATGGGGTTTAATAACAAACTGTGAGACATATTCTTTAACTCGGACATACTGGTCTGTTATAGGTATATCAGGATGTTCAATAGCTTTACCAGATACCACCATTACATTACGATCATTATACTCCTACAATAAACATAACAATAGTGCCAGGTAATTATATGTAGCACAAAATATTTGTAACTTACAGTCACTGACTATCATTTGCATTTACAAAATCAACATATCAACAGTAGATAATTTTCAGGCTTGGGTTTTGTTTTCTGTTATAAAACTTAGAATCTTAAACTGATTGAGAAACAATTTTGTGTTAGAAACCAACTGAAAGTGGTTCTGAAGAAGAAATCGAAAAAACGTAAATTATTTACTTGTAATGGTCTAAAAAAAAAATAATACCTTGTATCTTCTAACATAAAGATATTCCCTGGAATACATTGGATACTGAAAAATATAAATTTCAAAATATAGATTATTATCCAAAAATATATAATATGATCAAATAAATATCATACCTGAACACATATCTGTCCAAAATCAGTTTTCACATATTGCTTATTATACTATATAATAGAATTACTTAATGGATTCCATTTTAAAATTTTGCCGGTCAAAATGTTTTATTTAAGGTTCATAAAAAGGCCAGAAATGGTCACTAGAAAGGGTTGTCACTTTTGAGAAATATGGTCATTCCCTTTTATGTTAATAGATTCCACTTGATCTATATTTTCCATATTTAATTCATGTACCGGCTTCAAGTTCAGGACAATAATATTCCTCAATAATTATAGTCCTTCATTTATACATTAGAAACTGCAAGGTTCACGATAACAATAGTTCATTATGTCTATGTATCATCTTCTTTATAAAAAGGTATTATAAATAATATAAACACCAATAGCTCAATCACTCGCCAAAAGGAATAGCAGATTTTCACTTATTATCAGGTTTTGTTGTGTGCTATTTCAGTGGTACATATATACATTAGATACTGTGACAGGGTATATGTAGACTGTTGAAAAGCTTATATTAATAGACACATAAAATTTATTCAGGAGGAGGACATTGTACAGTTACTACAGGGACATAACTCTAAATAAATTGGTCTCAGACTACTAATTCTGTTTGAGAGAATACTCATACACATGAATGAAATTGACAGAAATATACTTACAGGAAACTTAGTTAACCAGTGAACTATTTCAGATCCAGTTTCTTTATGTTTATCAATAATATTTATATCTAAAGCCATTTTCTCCCATGACTGCCAAAACTCTAGATCAATCTAAAATTACAATAAATACATCCATGATCAAATATTTATATGCATACATTATAATATAATATAATATATGATTCTATATTCGTTATATAAATGCCTACCTGTCAAATGTAAATACTGCATGTGGGAAGACTATCTGCTGGTGTAATTGCCATATCAGATAAACTTAAAATGAGCTGTACACATGCCATTCAAGTATACCAGCACAATAAAACTGGATTTTGGTTTAGTTACATGTACATTTGAATATGTGACATTTTTAAAACAAAATCCTCTGAATGTATGCCAAAGTGTCAAGGGATAATAACTAAACTGAATGATTTATAACTTATAAATCATTTATAACTTAAAATATTAACATCAGAGTGGCTATGGTCTAGAAATTAAACTTTTTAACAAATTTTGTCTTCTACCTTCTTGTGTAACTGGAAAATCCCCAACAATCAAACATGCTTGATATTGTGTGTACTGTTTAATAATAAAAATATAATCTTGTAACTTTTACCTGTATGTTATAAAATGCTCTTGCAGGAATATCATCAAATGAACCATATACTGAAAAAAGAAAGAGAAAAATAGATTGCCAAGCAACGAAACATATGCCCTCACCAGCTAAATCTTCTGTGATGTTATATAGGGTACATTTTTTTAATTCTTTTGTAGGTACATGTAATGACAGCATTCACAAGACATCTAGGCATATAAAAGACTTTTTTGATCAAGGGGAAAAAGCAATTATCAGAAATAATTTGATAAACTTCTAATTCTTATAAACATGTAATCAGCTTCTTGGCTTGTCATAAATCACTGAAAATTTATAGGTATTTTCTGCTAATGAACCAAAACATTACATCAATAAAAATCAAGTTAATCAGAATATAACTTTCATCTCTAGAGTCTAGAAAAACCAACAGAGGTCGTGGAGTGGAATCGTGACGTAATTAAACACAACAAATATGTTTCAGCTGTCCTGGTTTGTTGAGATATTTCCTCATGCAGTTGGAGTATGCATTTATTACAGCTTGAATTCCTCCTTTTTACTTGATTTGTCACTCGTTGTGGGATTGAGAGAATTTAATTCTGGAATGTTCAATCAAGTATCCCCCAAGTATTATAAGTGATCAATAGCCATATCTATGACAGTACTTCATTATTTGAAATTGTTCAAAATCAATATTTCAACGTAGGCAAATAAAAATCATTTATAGACATGTGTATACTATAAATATAATGCCTGAAAAACAAAGAAACAATCTCAATTTACATGTACATATGTAATTAGGCAAAACCCATTAGCCTGACAACCATTTAAAGGACAATCATTGTGTCTGCAATGTTTGAGATTGGGGGGAGGGGGTCAAAGAGATTAGACCCATTCATTATTTTCGGAATAATTTCACAGCTAATGACATATTAAAAAGATAAAATTGAGTATGGTACATGACCCTTATGGTTTAATGTCCTACTAACATGGCAGCCCACTATCTGTTGGTGTGGAGTAATTTAACTTGCTACAGATTATACAATACCCTGTTGCATAATTTCTGACCTTTGAAATCCAATTACAGTACATTGATATAGGTTTCAGGCTAACTAATCTGGTACAAACAAATTGAGTCATTCTAGTTACAATAATTGGGAGATTAGGGTAATTAGTTTGAATATGTTTTTAGTCCAAATATATCATCATCAAATCACAAGCCTATTCTAAGTACGGTACAGAAAACTGAAAAGTTAATTTCAAAATGTTTATTTCTCTCATTAACATTTAATTCTTCTAGGCCTGGAAATACTTTGTACCTGATAAAATGAACTAGTATCTGCCATTGTACTTGATGAAATAAACTGGTATCTGCCATTTTAACTTTGTGTCAGACATGTTTTCAAAAAAGATCAATAAAAACGACAGACAAATAAATATTGTCCAAACAAAATGACAGACAGCGATTGAACATGTACCCGACAAAGCCTAAATTTGTGCCTGACAATGTTTGAGGCACTTGTCTCATTTCCAGGCTTGTAACTCTCCTATATTTTTTTTTGGCATCATTTTGTATATATTTTTTTAAAAAAAAATACAACATTTGAAGATCCCGTTCATTACCTCCTGCGATGTTCCTTACATTCAATTGCACGAACAGAAACCATAGACAAATTACAACAGGATTTTAAAAATATAAACTGTCTTTTATTCAGCTCCACAGCCTACAGTCTTGATGTTAATTCTAATATTTTTAATCAGGTCCATAAATTTATAGATATACTGTATCAAACAGATTCTAATCTCATCTCGATCAAATAATATTTATCTTCTCTTTTATGTATGTATAGTCTCTCTAATGCTGATTATTATTAAAAGATTCTTACTGTGCTTGCATATGTATAATTATTAACTACTATATATACTGTACATTTTCACCCATTGTATTATATTTATATAATATGTATGTGTTTGCCATTTTAACTATGTATATACACCCTTTTTGTATTAATAATATACATATACAAATTATTATTTAGGGAGAGCGGTTTTACATAGGCTAAGCCTGTTCCCCAATCCTATTCAGTCAACCTGAATAAAAATATAGTTTAAAAAAAAAAAAAATTGTCAGTCGGCCCATTACATACCTCTGTATTCATATAAATGACTATTTTCAACTATAGGTTTTCTCCACACTTTGAGATGTGGTTTATTAATAATAGATTCCCAACCACCAGGTAGTGTGCTATAACCATTTGCATTAGCATGGCTGACTATTTCACTCACTGACTCCATGTCATCTATACATCTGAAGTAAAATCACAAAAATAAAAATAGCTTCATTAGGTAAGAAATATAATATGATCTTATAAAGAGATTTCAGACTTCCAAGAATCAAACCAGTCCTTATTCACATTGACTGTGCATAGAAACCACAGTGGCTCTGTGAGTATGGCCCTGGCTAAATAAAGGTCCTGGATTCGATCACGGTGTTGGCTAGGAAGGTAGTAAAGATTTTCCACTTGGTAGAAGTGTGCAATATGGACTATGGAGGGCCTGTCAAGTAAAAGCATTTAGTCATTCGGATGGGACAGAAAAAAGTGTACACATATATATTGAAGTGCCTAGGCTTGGTAAGCTTATAGCTGGAATTCAATGAAGCAGAAAGACCATTAGCTGTTCTAGCAAAATACTAAAATAGTAGTCGGTGAAATCTGTTATTCTTTTACTGATGACTGAAATACATGTAGATATACATGTACATGTACTGTAAAATTTTACAATTAGGGCTGGCAATCGATACCGATTTTAAATATCGATATTGGCAACCGTTTTGGCAATATCGATATATCGGAAAATATGAAGTTGAAAGAAATAACTATTTGTAAGCTAATAATGCATTTAAATGTGTTATTGTGATCAAAAAAAAACAAACTATGATCCTCAAACTATGATTTCTTAATGTTTGTTTCGTTCACAACTTTAATCTGATGGTATTCGCAGCTTTGCAGTCGCCATCAATCGCTGTTGACAATTTTCCTCAGCCGCTTATTACAATAAATAAATTTCTATTAAAATCGAGTTATTTCCCCTGAACAATTAATTAACTATTCTTTGTCATTGTTGTAAATGCCGCAAAAATTACCGGTGCGGTAGTTGTATCTTAGTGTGTGTGTTTTTAGTTTTAACATGTTTTGAATGATATGACGGTGATTATTTGACACAAAACATTCCGTTAATTTCATTTTATTGAAGCTCCTTTATTTTATATACGAGTATCGATATCAAGAACTGAATAGCAATATCGATATTTTCCTGTAGTCGCCGGCGATTATCGGCTATATCAATATTTTTCGCCAGCCCTAATTACAATTCCTTCACAATTTCTTGGATGAACAATCGGATTAAAACACAGATCCTATTTGTTTTTTATAGTTCAAAATTTTGTTTTACTTAGTCTTGTTTTTACTACACTAGGATCTGGAAGAATTGTTATATAATCCATGTTCTGGTTGATGTGATGGATTGGCCAATGAAATGGTATGTTGTGGCGAGTTCTTGGCGTGCGGTGCACGGAACTGTAGGTACAATGCATCCCACTAGAAACATCAAATGAATGCTGATTGGTTAATCAAATGTCTGACGCGACTTTCCACAACAACCGATCAGATCTTCATCTACATGTACTAGTGGGGGCCATCGAAAGTATAAAAAACAAAATATAGATCTGTATTTTAATCAGATTGTTGAATGAAGAAGTAGTTGGATAATTGAAAGCTTTGCGCATGATCTGTTTATAAACTGATTGAAAACGAAGTCCATTTCACCATTTGTATTACCGTACCATTACCGTAACATTTCTTTGATCTTATCCAATCATTACCAATAATTAACTATGACAAAACCTGATACCTTTCAAAATCTTCATTGGTTATATTGTCTTTTTGCCAGGAAAATAAACAAGCACTTAAAAGCACACAGAAAGGTTTATTCCTACAGTTTTGTAACACTAATCCTGCGAAATTATCAATAAATTTTGACACCATTCTCTCTCCATACAAATATCTATAAAACGTTAAAGCTTGTTGAAGTCTTTGGATTCTCTGTGCCATTACAACATGGCAGTAAGCAGAGAACAGTTTGCATAATTCTTTGATATTGTTTTTAATGTCTGATGACCAATTCTTTAGTCTTCCGCTAGAAAAATTCCTAGTTCCTGTCATTATTCCATCGCAAAAACTAGGTGGTCTTATTCCAGGCTGATGTATTTTGAGAAATAGTGCTTTCTGCACAGGTCCTCTATTTAAATGTCTATAATTCAATTGAACAATTCTTGAAAACATATTGTATCGATATACTTTTAGATCCAATAGCAATGTTTCAAATATTTTAACTCATAATGCCCCGAAATCCACTCAATGTTTCACGAAATTCTCACATGGCAATAGTGGTGACCTTCAGTACGGCAAAACTAAAGATAAAGAAATAACAATTTGTGTTGTGAATTGTCGTTTGTATGTTTCCGGTTTCTTGTCAATGGCTCCTTTGAAGCCCCTGATTTTACTGCTAGGGCATTCACAAAAATCATGGGTTTATCTTCATTACTCCATCATTCAGTCTAATTCAAAACTTCCTTACATAATTTGTTTTATCGCTTGGTTCTGCTTAACTGTATAACTTTACGACCTTGACCCAATAACCAAAGTTCAGCATGAGAATCTCAAAACATTGCGAGATTTACCGTTATCTCCATCGTGGCAACGGTATAGTTACAATATGGCCGTCGTTTGTTGAAGGAAGTTAGCACTGGGACTTTATGTTTAGAACTTGAGTTTAGATATTTCCAATAATGGACAATATAGGCACACTTGAACTAGCGTAAGTATAAGATAAATTAATATTGATATAGAGTGACTTGTCTACGTTTCCTTAATAAAATTCTTTGGAAAATATTGCACAAAATAATAAATTAGGCTACTAAATTTAAAGCAGCTAATCATGAATTAAAATCAATTAAAACATACTGATTTTATTATAGATCTATAGCCTATAGAAGAATAATACTGCCTTTTTTCTGTGTTAAGTTTATATTGACTTTATTATGTCCAAAATGTCAGGTATATGTAGGCGCATGTCATATCAGTACATTTATTATTTTTATTTTTTAGAAGAGGTTCAAAACAACTTACTGTTTAGGCTAACAGCAGAAATTTCAATTATTATTAATACAAATTTACTTTATTCTTCGTTTTGAAGTTCAACTCTACTCAAGGCCTATTTAATTTTTAGCCATTTAATCCAATTTACAGTCTTTTTAAAAAAAAACCCATTCTACCCGTGCCCGTGTGGAATAACAGCTATGTGTTTTGATTTTATTTATAAGTTATAAGGGAATTGTTATTTCTTCTTGTTTAAATATCAATAACTGTACTGATGCCGGTACCTTCGTGGTTTCCATGATCAATACAGTATTGATAATATTGTATTGATCAGTGCAACCAAGCAACTTTAAAGATGCATTATGTAAGCACTAAATCTGCCCATTCTTTTGGCGTCAAGTGTAATATAAACTATTATCTAAGCTCTTTATCTAACTTTTACATACTGCATCTGTAAGTGTAGTTAGTGTTTTTTTTTTTTATGCACACTTCTAAATGACTTAAATTATTATTACTATTACAGGTGGTCTCAAGGCTATAATGGAGGCCAGGTATACTATGTGGATTCTGATGTCTTGTGTTATCAGTGTGGTCGTAACATTAAAATGGTGGCAGAAGATGGAGTTGAGACAGTCTTTGCATTTAAAGGAAGAGGAATTGGTCCCATCACAGTCCATAAAATCAACAAACATATTGCTATAGCTGAACAATGTTTGAATCCTAAAATATACATCTATTCATACCCCACATTTAGAGAACATGTTGTCATTGAAGGTAAGACTTTCTTTTGTAAATGACCTAATGATAAGATGGTATCCATGATCTCATGCCCTCTTTATCCACTCACCCACACCACAATACCTAAACTATTTAAAAAAGGGATAAAGAAATAAATCAAATGTTATAAAATGATGTAAGCTTACCCTAGTACACAGTGCACAACTTTATGGAATGCAGTCACTGTTTCTTGACTGAGCAATAATAATTGCTTGATAAAGACTAGAGAATCCTAGTTAGAACTTCAGTAAGTAATAAACTGTGTTCTACAGAATTTGAGTTCTGTGTATTTCCAGTGCACTAACTTCCTAACTAGATGCCATTGAAGCAATTTAAGCTCCATCATAGTTCATTCGTGAGGAATTTAATGTCCACTGTCACCAAGAGTTATATTGCAGACAAAACACAGTTTGACCATACTATACCCTAGTATATTGCAAATTTTAAGAAGGTGTTTCAAAATTTTATTTCAGACGCAGCTCAATTGGAATATCAGAAACTGGTATTTTCAAGCAGTGAATATATGGCTGGGTTATCTGGTTTACCAGATTTTGAACTTATCTTATGGTAAAATAAAATTATATAACATATTACTTTTTGATTGTCTTGATATCAGTCAATAATGCATCACAGCATGTATGATAAAATTGAGTTTCCTCATAGGATTGCAAAAGGTGACAGAGTTATCTCCCCTGACACATCAAGCTCCCCCACACCCACACTGATCCGCAGTGAATATTTGCTAGGCCACTACAATCACTGATTAGGATGACATCGATGCGGCTTAATGAGCCAGAAATATTAACTTTTTTCCTGCGACAAATTAAATTCTAAAACATTTTTTTTATGTATTGGAAAAATAAATAAAGGCGTTTGACGTATTTGTAGGTAAAAATTATTTCCTATTTAGTGTAAATGGGTATTAAAATGACTAAAATGCAGCATTCTCTCCGAAGCAGTAACGTCTTATGTAAACAATGCACGCGTCATTCAGCCAATGATTGACGCCGCATGCTGTGACAGCACGTGGTAAGGCAGTCATCTTTGACAGAGATATATCACTAGACTCCTAATTCTCTGTGAAACAGATTGCCCCACACCCTGTCAAGTGGGCAATAATACAATAATTTACTCTTTAGTTAAGGATATTAATATAGATTTGTTATATATTATATGACAGTTTCATCTTTAGAAGAAAATTCTAAGATAGAAAACACTGAACTTCTGACTAAAATGTGCAAGATTGTTAATAGATTACCTCCCTTGAATCAAATGATTGTCGATTTTTGGAGAAGAGAAGAGAAGAATATTTAACACGTTTTTGGTCACTATGGTCACCAGCTTCCTGTGCCCATTTTTATTATAGGATAGTCCTGGAAACTGGGCCTTACTGAACATTTTTAAGTAGTGTGGCATGACAATTCTGTATTGATCGATATAGTTATCAGCTTACTGTGATGATTGCTATTTTAGGCTATTTTAATAATAGTAAAATGGGGCCTCGGTGAACTGATCCCATGGATAGTTTATATTGTGTGTGACCACCCAATGACAGGGTTCTACATAGTAAAATGGTTAGCAATCTATACAAAGATAGGATGTAACTTAATGTAAACAATTTTATTTTAGGAATTATGAGAAAGGAATTAAGCTGTCATCAGTTAAAGTTGGTTCGTCATTACCCACAAGTTTTTCATTTAATCCGTGTAATTGGAGAGAGATCTGTCTAACTACCAGTGATAGTATTACAGTATGGATTACAGAACAATCACATGATAAATATGTAATGCAGCCACAGTAAGATTAGAACTTTTTTATTTTTCAGTAAGGGGGTTGGGTAGCTGAATGGTTAAATTCGTGCAAATTTGATCACAAGGTCTGTCATTGAGTCAAGTAGTGTTGTTTCAATTCCTTGCTGGTACGTGACAAGGAGTAGGATCCCCTGTCCAATCTCGCGGGTTTTCTCCAGGTTCTTTGGTTTCCTCCTACAGCAAAAGACCCCTACTTGCAAGCAATTTATTGAAATAAAAAGACCTTTTCGATCGTATCTTTTTCATACATTTATGTGGAGCCATTGTGGCTCTGTGGCTATTGGACTGGCTCATTAATCAGAAGATCTCAAGTTAGATCCTGGTGTTTGTCGTGCAAGTTCCTCAGGAACAAGCATGATATGAAAAATTGAAATCCTGTGTATCTGCTGTGAGGACAAGTTTCTCCTCCTAGCTCATGCATAGTGTTACCTGTCATCATGTCAATTATGTGTTATGCTTAATCAATCTGATTAAAATATAGATCTATATTTCGTTTCATTTTTTTATACTTTCGATGGCCTACACTACATGAAGATCTGACAAGTTATAGAGATAGGTCACGTCAGGGGTCAGACATTTGATTAACCAATCAGCATTGATGTTACTAGTGGATTACCCACAGTTCCATGAAAAACACACCTAAAGCTCGCCCTAACAGACCGTTTCATTGGCTTATCCCTGACACCATTCAGAACACGAGTTAAATAACAACTCTTCCAGATCCAAGTGTAGTTAAGACAAGTAAAACGAAATTTTGAACTATAAAAACAAAACGAAATAGGATCTGTGTTTTAACCAGATTGATGCTTAATAATTTTTTCATTTAAGTACTCATTTTTAAGGTTCGTTCTGCTTTTCAAACTGCAATTGTTTTTTTTTTTGTTTTTAAGGAACGTCAGAATTCCAGTAGCAGATCCCAACTGTGTTGAGGATGACGAAAAAGACCATGATCGAGCACCAACCCGAGCCTCAACACGCATGACACGTTACACAGTAGAATTACCTAAAACAGCTGTAGCAGGTCTAGTTGGTGATAATACAACATATTTAGAACATATAGAAGATACAACAGTTAGATGTTCACCTGTATCACAAGCTTGGACACCTAGTGGAGATATTTATATAGGCTGTGATGGGGGACAATTGATTAAGGTAGTTGTACGTTTTCTGGCCGAATGGTTCAACGTTTGAGTGTTGGATCATCAGGTCTGTCATTGAGTCAAATGACGTGGTTTCAATTCCCCACCTGTATGTGACAAGGAGTAGGGTCACCAGACTAACCTCGTGTGTTTTCTCCAGATCCTCTGGTTTCCTCCCACGGCTAAAGATCACTATGCTCAAGTCTCGAAATGATCTAGTTTGTGTCGAGTGGATGTCAAACCCCATTTCCCTATCTCTCTCATTTTCTTTAAAGATTGTCTTTGATATCTTTAATGTCAATGATTGTAAAACATCATTGTATTATATAAAAAAGTCTTTATGCCGTAGTCTAAAAATTATGTTCCAACTTCAAAAGCTTATTATTTAGAAAAGCCTATGGTAAACTCATGAAGTTGGGAATTGAAGGTACCTCTATCACATACGCTCACTCCAAGGATAAAAACCACGACAACATGCCATAGGTGACCGTCCTGCTAGAGCTTGAAGCATGACACTTTAGACCACTTGGCCATGCTAACCCCTAAATAAACTGAAGTAGTTTTGTTCATTAATAACTAAACTCTTTGATTTTTGTTGATGATGTATGGTCAAAAACTTTTTTTTTTTTTGATGAATTTTAACCAGGTAAATGATGAAGTGTTTAAAGCTCGAGTTATTTATTACCCACCTCAAAGAGCAGAAACACCACATTCCCGAGCTTCTAGTGCTGTAGAACCAAGCAGTCGTAAAACAACACTAACAGACATTCAACCTGTTGGTAAGTATTAATATTATGTTTAAAGTAATTTGCATATATATTTTTGACAAAATATCAATTTTCACTGGCTTAATCCACACTAAAATATACACAGATTATTTAATTTAACAAGTAATTAAAAATAAAAATATCATCGATAGATTATTATATTCTGGTTAAAAGGAAAACACAGTTTTGGACTGATATTCCTTTCAGAGTTTCGACTTTTGCAAGGGATTTAAAATCTCTGAAATGCTGATCAGGGACTTGAGATCTTTGGTGAGATCTTTACTTTAAAATTATATATGGAATCTTGTATTTTTGTATAAATTTGATCTTTAATTTTATACTTTTTTTAAATTGTAAACAGCTGATGATGTTGGTAATTTGATACTACAAGGTTGTTTAACAACTTTAACTTTACACAGAAAAGGTCTTTATGCTGCTGGAGAGGTGAGTGTTCAGAATAGTTTTAAATTAAATATAAACATTGTTCTATTTGGAAAAATCTCTGTGAAAGTGGTGCTGTGAGTTGCTGAATTACTAGCCAGAAAGTCTCTGGTATCATCCCACTGTTGGCCAAGAAAGTTCTTTGTTTACTGTTATTTTCAAGTCCATTTCCCTATGTTGGTGGCCTGCAAGAAATAAATGACCAGTTGTTTGGATAGTATAGTGTAGACCTATACCATTGGAAGCATGGTAAAGACCATTTGACAATTGTACACTGCATGGCATAGGTAGGTCTTCACTATCTCTGTTGAGTAGAATTAGTTATAATAGTGTATGCTAAATAAGTTTTTTTGTGTTTTTTAGGATGGAATTTTACGATTGATAGATATAAAAGGAAAAGAGTTTCGTATTTTAGAACATTGTAATATTGGTGAAGATGTAACCAGTCTTAGCTTCTCTCCTAATTACACACATTTAGTACTTGGGACTAGTACAGTAAGTATAGTTTATTTCAATATTATTACATCCAACTTTCCTCTCTTTATCCAGGCAGTTGGGTGGCCTAATGGTTAACGTGTGCTCATTGGATCAGAACGTGTGCTCATTGGATCAGAACGTCTGTCATTGGGTCAAGTGGCGTGGCATATGTGACAAGGAGTAGGGTTGTCTGTCCAACCTTGTGGGTTTTCTCTGGGTCCTCCAGTTTCCTCCCAGTGCTAAAGACCCCTACACGCAAGTGAATTATAAATAAAGAATTGAACCATATGTTAGTCCCGAAATGACCTAGATTGTGTCAGTGGACATTAAACCCTCTCTCTCTCTCTCTCTCTCTCTCTCTCTCTCTCTCTCTCTCTCTTAGCATTATTTAGCCAGATAATTTATTTCTATGGTGGTAGTGAGTTACAAATTTTTGGCCTTTTTGAAATATGGAAAATCAAGTCTTTGGATATAAAAGAAATATGGTAAGTTTGTATCTGAAGATGGCATAAAACATTATTTTTCTAAAATACATCTAAAATACATGATATGGTTTCTTTCAGGGATCACTTCATATGTATCAGCCTGGTGTTCCTGATAGTCTAAAACTTCTAAAAAGAAGCCATTTTGGTGATTTTGTTGGTATTGGTTGTCTAGCTCAAGCTTCAGATTGTATTATTGTAAGTATTCATTTACATATAAATTAATATAATCTTTAAAATTCTTGATCGGCCTTTGAAGAATTTTGATTCTCTTGCAAATTACAATATTGTGGGGGGGTTGGGTGGCCGAATGGTTAGAACGTGCGCGCTGTATCATACGGTCTGTCATTGAGTCAACTGGCAGGGTTTCGGTTCCCCGGTTGTACATGACAAGGAGTAGGGTCGCCTGTCCAACCTCGTGGGTTTTCTCCGGGTCCTCCGGTTTCCTCCCACTGCTAAAGACCCCTACGCGCATGCGAATTATTGAAATAAAATTGAACCATGTGTTAGTCCCGAAATGCTAGTTTGTGTTGAGTGGACGTTAAACCCCATTTCTCTCTCTCTCTACAATATTGTGAATGTATAAAAGAAATGTCAGTCCGAAAAAGTTTGATTCCATTCTGTATTTACAATTGGAAATTTCAAAACATTCATCCTCTGCAGACAATGTTAACAAGCCAGTGCCACCTATAATTGAAATAATATTGTAAAAAGAGAATGGGTGAACTTGATAAAGAAATTTTTATGTGAGCTGCGCCCACAGTTGCCTACCTTTGACTACAGCCCAAGGTATCTGAGTAATATTTAATGTATTTTAAATGTAATATTTGTAGAGTGCAAGAGAAGATGGAGAAATACAAGGATGGTCCTATGATAAAGGTTTATTAATGTCTTCATTATCTGTTAAAACACCGGTAATTATAACATACTTTTCTACTTTTACTACTTTAAGTTTTATGATGGATGATTAGTGCATGCACTAACCTCATCTGTGAGGTTATATTATGGTGCTTCTGTTGAATTTAATGACGTTTTACTTAGGCCATCTTGTACTTAATGTACGATAACTTTATGTGCATCCTAGAGGGTGGATTTTTACCTGGGCAGAGGTGTTCCTACCTACTGGTACCACTGCCGCTCCCTCCCCCACCTAAACCTTACTGAAACCATGAAAATCATGTCAAATGAATTAAAGCTTAATCTTTTATTGCTTTAAAAGTATTCAGCTCCTTATATCCGTCCTTCACGGTTTTGTTGCTAAAGTATATCTCAGGAACAATTCAAAATATTTTTATAAAAATTGGTACAGACATCAACCTGTTATAGTTTTTGTGCCTTTTGCTCGTTAGAAATTTCTAGAAGTTTAATGAATTTGTTTCTGCAGAAACAAATTTTACTTAGGTTTTATGCAGAGACACAGGATTTTGATGACTATATGCCATCTTGTATTATAATAGTATTCAATGTGACAGCGTTTTTTATAATTATATTACAGGTTGTTAGTTTATCATGTAGTCCTATATTACAGGTTGTTAGTTTATCATGTTGTCCTATATTACAGGTTGTTAGTTTATCATGTAGTCTTGTATTACAGGTTGTTAGTTTATCATGTAGTCCTATGAGTCATCTAGTTGTTGTTGGTACAGAAGGTGGTTATCTATATTTCATAGATTACACAAATATTGAATCTCCTAGAATAGTTGATAGATACAGAATAGCTAGACAACCTATTATACATCTCAGGTACGAATTATATTATTTTATTGTCAAATTTTACCTAGAACCTCACCGTTATTGAGAATATTTGAAACAATAGCGCCTCAGGCCTCATTTTATTTCATGAATTCGCTTGCACGTAGGGGTCTTTAGCAGTAGGAGGAAACCGGAGGACACACGAAGAAAACCCACGAGGTTGAACAGGCGACCCCACTCTTTGTCACGTACAACCGAGAATCAAAACCATGCCATTTGACTCAAAGACGGACCTTATGATACAGCGCTCACATGCTAACCATTCGGCCATCCTCCCCCACGGTCATATTAGAATGTTGAGAGGGTATATAATGGTATGAATATTGATATAATGATAAACATTTACTTGGTGATAATCAAAATTGAACAATTGGTCATGGCAATCTCTTGTATCTTCTTGTAAATTATGTATATATAGCATTTCAAGTATAATGTTGCTTTATTAACTATCGTGAAATCTCATAAACAAACTTTATCTTTTGTTTTTTTCTCTTCAGTTTTTCTCCAGAGGGACAGTATCTATTCGCTGCTGCCAATAACTCACATGTCATTGTGATTGATGGACGACCGTCAACTAAATTTGAAGTACTTGGTTACACAGGTAAATGAATGTAGAAATTTACAAAAAATACAGGAAGGATCTGCAAGGGACAGTGTTTGGTGGTTGTGATGGTCCATAAAATGAGGTCTCATATACACATTTGCGTGCACATTAGCCAATCCTTGAAAGTGAAAATTATCCCTTGTAGCACACTGCATGGAATATGCCCGTCTTCATTAGCCCAGTTGGTGCAGAAAAGTAGGATGTTAAACTCCATTATATATATTTCATTTTTTTCTGAAAAACAGAACAAACAAATTTTATAAAAAAAAAAGTATTCCCCAAAATTATTTTGTATTGTGGATATTTGTTTTTGTATTGGAGGAATTTATAAAGATATTTGTTTTTGTATTGGAGATATTTATAAAGATATTTGTTTTTGTATGGAGGTATTTATAAATATATTTGTTTTTGTATTGGTGGAATATATAAAGATAATTTGTTTTTGTATTGGAGGTGTTTATAAAGATATTTGTTTTTGTTTTTAGACTTTGAAGGAGATATCTTATCTTTATCATCTATAAATAAAGATGAAGATGTGAAGGTTGTCGTGACAACAAGTACACAAACAGATAAACGATCTGGAGCCAATAAACTGATATATTTTACTATTCCTTCGGATATTACGAAAGGTAATGGAATACATTGATTCGATTCACATATGACACCTTAGTGGGGTAAAAATAATTTATGGTAGGAATTTGATCTGATGTGTATTTAGAAGTCGGATAGAGAGAGTGGATAAGTTGGATAGAAAGAATAGATAATTCAGATCACGATTTATGTAGATTCTGAGGTTCTTGTTTCTATCTCATTTCCCAGTCTTGACTGACTGGTTGCAAAATTAACTGGAAAATTTACTTGCTTATCTGAAATAAACAAACTACATGCAAAATTAATTGGAAAATTTACTGAACAGTCAATTTACTTGGCATGAAATTAGATTTTCAAAGAATTTAACCATTCTTTTAAAAAAAAAAAAAATACTTGCTTATCTGAAATAAACAAACTGAATGTAGATCACAAAATTGTCTTTCTGGTAAAGTGAAAACCTTAGTAGATTTAATTTTTAGACATAACTACCCCTTTCTGGAACTGGATAAAGTTGCTATTGAATATAGCAAATTATTATGATTATGTTTATTTTCTATTATCAATTTGTATATTTTTGTTTTTCAGATTTTAAACTTGACTATCTCTTTCTTGAACTGGAAAAAGATGCTATTGAATATAGCAAATTATTATGATTACCTACGTTTATTTTCTATTATTAATTTGTATATTTTTTAGATATAAGAAGTAAACATGCTAGTCTAAAATGTGATTTTAAAGCTGATTGTATTAAGAAGATGAATTTACATCTAACTATACCATCATATGGTGGCGCTGTTGGTATAGATAACACTCTCTATACAATATCACAAACATCGAAAAAGATAGTTGCCATGAATCTACCTGATGTTAAACCTAAAAAGGTTTGTGATTAATTATTATGCATTCTTAAGCATCTTTAGTGCAGTTTTGATTTTGTGTTTTATGAATTGATTTTAAAGATCGTACATTGATTATTTTGTATTTAATAAAAAAAAAAAAAATATCAAAGGGAGATAATCTTCCAGTTTGAATTTGGTGGCACTGGCTTGGGTATATAGTCTGCAGATTATGCTAGATGCAATGTGATTAAAACACAGATCCTATTTCGTTTTGTTTTTTTATAGTTCAAAATTTCATTTTACTTGCCTTTACTACACTAGGATCTGGAAGAGTTGTTATCATTGACGTGTTCTGAATGGTGTGAGGGATCAGTCAATGAAACGGTCTGTAACGGCGAGCTTTAGGTGTATTTTGCACAGAACTGTGGGTAATCCACTAGTAACATCAATGCTGATTGGTTAATCAAATGTCTGACGCCATAGGGTCAAAAGCTGCTCATTCCTTTCACAGTATTGTAGTTTGTAAGGGTTTCAGAATCCTTCAAATGATGATTAGCTTTAAAATACAAAAAAAAATCTTTGTTAAATCTTTGATATTCAATTCATTCTTTTCATTAATGTTTTTATTTATAAATTATTATTTTTTTTATTTGTGGCACATAGTATATCAATGCATTTTTTTTTTTAGCTGACGAGTCCGGAGTCATATTTAGTTGCCTCATCTGAAGTAAATGGACATCAACTTCCTGGTGGGGAGATAAAGTTATCACCTCATGGTAAATGGATAGCATCATATGGTACAGATGGTACCGTCATAATGAGATCTGTTGGTAATATGGTAAGTCGTTACAATCTTTTATATTGAGCCAAGGTGGCTTGGTAAGTAGAGTGCTAGCTCACTAACCAGGATATCCCAGTGATGGCCAAGAAATTTCCATATGATTTATTAGCCTGTTTTCCACATGTCAGTCATGCAAGATGGAGCCTGGCAATGAGTCTAGTCATACGGATGGGGTGAAAAACCAAAGTTCCATTAATACCTTTGGCAGCATGTTATCGATTCCCTGGCCTTTGGAAATTGAAATAAAAGTAGACTGGAGACTGAAAAATTTCACTGATCACAAAGTATTTCATTTAATGCTTTGTTATAGAAATTGATAATAGAGATTGATGAAAATTTTTCACAAATTAATGTATGATAATGTAAGATGTTAATTGGATGGATGTCAATCTATGATAATGTAAGATGTTATAATTGGTTGGATATTAATGTGTGATAATGTAAGATGTTAATTGGTTGGATATTAATGTATGATAATGTAAGATGTTAATTGGATGGATGTCAATGTATGATAATGTAAGATGTTAATTGGTTGGATGTCAATGTATGATATTGTAAGATGTTAATTGGATATTAATGTATGATAATGTAAGATGTTAATTGGATATTAATGTATGATAATGTAAGATGTTAATTGGATATTACTCTCAAAGTTTTTATGTTGTCACGTTTTTTTTGGCAGGAAGCAACTGTTTCAATTACACCTCATGAATATCGTAATGATGGCGTCAAGTCAGTTACTTTCTCTGAAGATGGCCAGAGAATATTTACAATAGGACATGATGGTGTACTCACAGCTTATACATGGCAGTAAGTTCAGTACTTTTCAAGATTTATTTAAACTTCTTTGGGGGTCACGGTGGCTAAGTGGGTAAGACGCTGGCTCGCTAGCCTGGAGGTCGGGTGTTCGATCCCTGCATTGATCGAGAAAGTTCATCCAGATTTTCCGGCGTGGTTCCCCCCTTGTCAGTGATGCAGGATGGAGGGCCCAACAAGGACAGCTGTCTAGTCGTTCGGATGGGATGAAAAACCAAGGTCCCGTGTACACATTGGCGTGCACGTAAAAGATCCCTTGACTGTTGGAATTCGATATAAGAGTAGGCTGTAGTGCCGCTGTCCGGACAAAATTTACCTCCTAGCACACTGTATGGCGTATGCCCATCTTCATTAGCTCAGTTCGGAGCAGAATAGTAGGACGTTAAACCCAATTCCATTTCCATTTAAACTTCTTGGGTTCCAGGGTCTACGGCATGCTATATTGCACCCTAGGGAAGTAACTACTTGCACGCCCCCTCCCTCAACAGAAAAGTGCCAACATCAAATTACAAAGACAGATCTTTTGTAGGAAGAATGAAAAACACATAACTTGAAACTACTAAATTTATTTTGAATTATAAGAATGAGTAACACGTCAATAATTTGAAAACAAAAAGTTTTGGTTTGCTGATCTCAACGGCTTTTAGTTCCATATTTTAAGTTTTTTCATTTCTTGCCTTTATTTTTTGAAAGTCTAAAATCCTAATATTTTAGAATATTTATTTGATATAGTTACACCTCCATTGGCATGAGTAAAAGTAAATCAGCTATTGAAAGTGCCCGAGCCAGAAAGATGAGATTGATGGGACCACAGAAGTTAGAAAATGAAGCATTAACTTTAATGGCTGAATGGACAACACCGATGTCTGCTACTAGAACCAATTCAACATTAGATAGAGAAGAGCGTGTAAGACAGTATTTATATTTTTTTTTCCCAATTATCTTCAGTTGGTTTTAGTTTACATTTTAAATACTTTCTGGAGTGGAATCTGGACCGCTCCAAAACAATTTTACAAAACTAATAACTCAAAATCAAAGTTGAAGCAACATTATGGAAGATTCGATAAAGAGCTGACAGTTCTCACTACAATAGTTAAAAAATAGATAATGTATAGGGAATATTATGTTGAAAATGTTAGTGAAATTACTCCACTCTGAGCCGAGAAATACTCATTTTAATAACACTGTGATACGATACAAAATGGTTTTTTTTACCATACTTTATTTTTTATTCACCCCAAAAGCTCATAGGAGAATTCCCCGGTTGTATGTGACAAGGAGTAGGGTCCCCTGTCCAACCTCGTTGGTTTTCTACAGGTCCTCCAGTTTCCTTCCACTGCTAAAGAACCCTACAAATTATTAAAATAAAGTTGAACCATATGTTAGTCCCAAAATGACCTTGTTTGTAGTAAGTTGACGTTAAACCCCATTTCTCTCTCTCTCATAGGTGAAATCTGTTTTCTGTTGCTATGAAATCTTGCTTACTTCATTGCAGTGATTTTCAGGTATTTGAATACAGACGTCAAATTTACACATAACTTTGTTTTGATTTCTTGATTGATGTTTCTCAGTTAGCCAGAGATGGTGATAAATTGTTTATATTTGATATTTATTATAGGATAGAATAGAGAAGAATAAACAAGATGCATTATTAAATGAAGATATATTTACAACTCCAACACCAACACCCCGTGCTGATAATACATGGCTAGAAGATAATGAAATTTATGTAAGTCTGTTTTTAATATTTAATTATATTGCTTAAAGTTATGAACAAGTTTGTATTCTTACTTATGGATGGTTGGTGGCATGATCATGATTTGCTTGTGTTTTATTTCTGTTGTTTAATGGGTGTTAATTAAGTTTAGATCATTACTGATAAGATGTCTGGTGACATCAAGGCCAATGTTTTGATTAAGCCAACCAGGCTTCTGCCTAAGATCCAGACATCATTTGGGATGCAGTACGATGAGTCACAGGTTTATCCAGATTTTGTATTTAACAAAAATAATCAAGATTAATGTTTCTTAATTTTTTTATTTTTTTTTAGCGGTTTCAATTGCTTTTTATTTTCTTATACATTTGAAGTTTGCAATTTGTTTTTTTTCGGCAGGAGATCGTGTGTGGCATGATCATGATCTGCTTGTGTCCAATAATCTTCAGAATATCTGAAAAATAAACATTTATTTATCTAATAATAATGTGTCCTAAATTCAACTTCAGTCTGCTGTCCACACATTTATATTTATGGCTTGACAAAATAGAACAATAAAAAAACCCCGAAAACTGTTTTGGCCAATCACCATTAGAAATGGCTATTTAAATTCTTTTATTATGTATATTATAGAATAAACAAAGACTTACATGAAGTTATTAATATTTTTATAGATTGTAAATTGTTTTTTTTTCTAAATTTTAGGCTATTAAAGAAGAAGATAAACAATATGCTGATAAAAAACATGATTTACGATGTCAGATCAGAGATATCAGAAAATCGGTAAATATCTATATTATTCAAATAAATCAAACACTGGCCAATGGCATTTTCTTTCAAAACAATTTTTCTGTATGTTGTTACCTTTAGTTGCTCACACAATCTGATTAAAATACAGATTCTTTTTCATTTGGCGTTTTATAGTTTAAAGTTTTGTTTTACTTGCCTTCACTACACTGGGATCTGGAAGAGTTGTTATATAACCGGCATTCTAGTTGATGTGAGGGATTAGTTAATGAAACAGTCTGTTGTGGCGAGTTCTTGGTGTGCTGTGCACATAACTGTGGGCAAACCTTAGCAGCAAAGGCAACGCAAAAATTGTATTTCCAAATACTCACTTGAAACATCAACATTGATTGGATAATCAAATGTCTGACGACGTCATAGGATCAAGAGCCGCTTGTGTGCCACCTGACGTGACCTCCAACTATAACCGGTCAGATCATCGTATAGTGAAGGCCATTGAAAGTATAAAAAAATGAAACAAAATATAGATCTGTATTTTAATCAGATTGGTGTTCACACAAATATTTGAATATTCAGGTTCAAATAACTTTTCATTCGAACTCATTTTTTGGTAATTTGTTAATTGATGGCAGTTAAAACTAATGAAATTAAATCTAATTTTTTGTTTCCAATTGGAAATGTTAAAAACTATTTCAGTAAAATCAACTAATATTTTATAAAAAATAGAAAAATAAACAGATGAGGG